TTTCTCAAGATGAGAAGTAAGTATGTATTATTAAAAAATATTGTGCTTACAAAAAGTATGGTATGTAAGTATGTAAGGAAATACTGTTTCAAAATCATCGACAGAAAATATATTTATATGGAGTTAATTTCAATGTTCTGTTTTTTTTTTTTATATTTTTTTATACCTAAATAGTTACATATTTAATTAAGCAATATCTTTTAAAATGAAAATATTATCAAACTATAGTCTGTAAAAAGCAATCTTATTTTTCATACAAACTTTTGTTTGATTCATAATATAAAATTAATATAAAGCAAGCTCGTTCAACAATTCTTTAGTGTACTAACAATGATCACTTCCAGACCAATTATCTTCGTGTCATGTTTGTCACTCCGCAGTTATTGCAAACTCTTTAAACAATAGACATTCGAGAGAAAGCCTTTCGCAGAAATTACTTACTCCAATTGTTCCGCGGAACGGTCCAACCCTTTGTGATTTGCGAAAATGAACGCAATTCTATGCAAATTATACAATTTGTTTTGAACGGGACCTTACTTGTGGCGCACTTTTGAAATGAAAAAAGTCATCAATCACTTAAAGTGACAGCATTGACAGAACTTGACAGCAAAGATTTTTATTGATCAATATATTTTCGATCCAGAAGATATTGTGATTAATATGAATAGAAGGTTTTTCTAATAACTTTATTAATTGTTTGTGTTTCTAATAACGGAACCCTTCCTCTTAATCCAAATGTCATCTACGAATAATATTGTTGGACGGTTGTGACGCGTGCTCATGTTGTTGTAGAGAGATTCACGTGTGAAAAGTTACGCAGACTTAGACTCGATACAGATTAGTGTTGTGAATAATTGTATGTCAATGACAACCAGATAAAGAAAATAAATCAATTTTTCATGTCAGTTAAAACAATCTGAAAAAAACAAACTTGTTCATATCTATGTCGTATACCTATACTTAGTAACAATTTGTTTAAAAATTAATTAAAAAATAATAAACCAAGACGTATATCAATGTACATAGTTAGAAGTTAAATTTAAAAAAATATATCACAAGTTTTGACCCATTTCTTACATTATTTGTTGGAAGCTTGGAATACCTACTAAAGTAAGGGCTCGAATTTAATTATACAATTCAAAGATGACATTAATATCCCGAGAGCACATTTATAATAAAAATCAATAAGTCATCTTTATTCGGAATCCTTGAAAGTTACTTTTGAACATTCAAAGTACCTATGTTAAATAGGTACCTAACCTAACAACGCGACCAAGAAATGTACTCGTGACAGTTCTTTATCTATGTATATAATAGTTTAATTTGAATACGTTTCAGTTTTTATAGCCCGTGAAGGATATTTCAAATAGGTATAATGATAAATAACACAATATACAGAATTAAAAACTTTAAAATAAATGTAGGTAAGTATTTTCAAATGACGTAGAGAGGCTTAAAATATGGTTTGTATAAAAGTCAATTGTAACAAGAATTTTCTTAATAAAAACAGATTATATACAATAATAAACTTAGTAGAACAGTTAATTTTAAGGATGAATAGGTACTGGGCGGTCGGCGGCTCACAGACTAACAGTTAATCTTAAGAGAAAAGGAATTAAGTCCCTAATAAGTGAAAGAACAATTATACAGCTTTTAACTAACGGTTTTAGCTAACAATATATATGTAGACGACATTTAGTATATAATTATAATATTAATATAACCATCAACCGTATACACAAAATGAATGAATATAAAGATTTAATTCTATTTCATAGTCGTATTGAGTCCTACTGTCCGTCTTGAGAATCGATTTTCCGATGTCATTGTGTATCAAATGCAATGTCAATGTGGACAGTGGCGGGTTGTGTATTATGTGTGGTGTATTATGGACGTCTCACTCGTAACCCTTTCAAAGGACCACCTCCGGACATTATTTGGTTAAACTGGACACCGGAAGCCCCACAATGGTCGGCCTGCGACGACAGTTGCAGCGACGCTTCGATGAGTTTTATGAAATAAGACGGACATCATTATAAACGGGAACCATTAATAATACAAAAAATATTCGGCTAATAGACGTTTTTGTGGTTCCGTCATTACATTTGACAGTTTAATCTGAGACTGACGTTTGTTTCGGATTTATAAATACGTTACTTACAACTCACTACACTTTTCTGAAATTTTGATGATGATATACAAAAGTGCAGTATATAATGAGATCTGAGACTTTCGCGGGTTTTATTCATTTAAAAAAAACATGATCACGAGCAGCTGAAGTAGCCGAAACGTCGGAATTTTGTAGTTTTTAACAAAAATAAACAGTGTAGCACTTATATCCGAAAAATATGAGTTTCATTTCAGAGCCGTATATGCTTATCTGAATTTTTAGTAAGATACCTGACAACTTAAAAAATAACTAAATTTTTGGACGAAACATTTAGTAGGTACCTATATGTCTTGTCATAAAAATATTGTTAAAATTGTATTAAAGATATCTATTGAATTTTTTGCCTATCGATTTGAAATAAAACTGACTGGATGTATAAAGGATAACCGAGTGTGGGACAGATTCTAACCGCATGTTTCAGAACAGTTAGATCATCCATCTTGAAATACGTCAACAATACAAAATGGTGGCAGTTATATTAAAAGGGTTGTGAGAAACGCGTGAACAATTAATATGTTGACGTTTAATGAAAAATAAACTTTATTACACATAGTTAAATTATATTATCATTTGTCTGTTGTCATTGAGGCAGATGCATTTTCTTCCGCGTTATAACTGTTCCTAGGATATCATTACATTATATTGTATTTATAGACGACAGATATAATTTTAAATTTAAATTAAATCAGTTAATAGTTTGACATTGTCTTTATACATTGATGGAAAAAGTTTGTATAAGAGAAAATCGTGAGCAAATCAGGATATGACACTAATAAGATTTAAGATTTTCGCGAGTACTCATTTAAATGAAACTAATATTTTCGAATTTACTACGCGTTTTTATTTTTGACTTTAAAATACATACTCCCGACGTTTCGGCTACTTTACAGCAACCGTGATCACGGACAGACGAGATGATACTTAGTTTATAGTCAAAAATAAAAAATTGCGTAGTAAATCCGAAAATATTAGTTTCATTTAAATGATATGACACTTTCAATGAATAAATTTGAACTTAACTTGCAAAATATTTGAGGACTAACGTATTTATCAATTTAAATCAAAGTTACCTTTTTTATAGGTTTGAGACGGAATATATTTGTTATGAAACAAACCATAGGTAATAGGTATATACTTAGGTATATATTTTTCTTCGTGGATTTTTCAATTTTGAATAAATTTACGCGTTGTTAAAATGTAACTGTAATTAATTTTATCAGACTTTTTCTTTTAGCTAAGTAACGTAATAAATGGTATAACAGTAAATGATAAAAATATTTTTAATACGTAATATTTTATATAGGGGAGAGTTGGTTATATCGTAGTAGCATTTAAATCGTACCACCTCTTAATTTCCCATTTAATGAATATTTTTTTTTACATTGACAACGCCAAATCGTGGCCCTGGACCATCCCTCTTCACCCACTAGTTTACATCGACGTGAGTTAACAACTGTGCACGTAATAAAAAAAATCATTTTTTGTAGGAATTAATATAAATATTGTCGTACATTCGTAAGGAGATAACTCGTAATCAAGGTAAGCTATAGTTATTCAGTTTTTTTTTATTATTCCACAATTGTATACTAGATTATTGGGGGTATTTGTTGCGTGTCTAAGTTTTGAGTTTATGCCGGATATTTGCTTTTGTTTTAGAAATGCCTTAGTTGGTTTAATCGTACCACTTGCAGTTGGTTAAATTGTACTGGTACGATTTACCCGACTACCCACCGCAAGTACCTATAGTGCTACCACAAGTACCTATAGTAAGTACTACCCAAGGCCAAGAACAAAAGTTATAAGAGGAAACGATCTCATTCCATCACCAGTAGCGATGATTCAGGAGAGACACTTGTTGTATAACTAGATGATGATGATGACAGCGATGATGATCTTGAAAATATATGTCGAAAGTGCAATTGTTCTTACTACGATAAGAAGGGTCCAAAAGTTGATTCGATTCAATGCGTTCGCTGTAAACGGTGGCTACATGGGACGTGTACTTCGAATTTTTGAAAACATTTCTCATGATTGTTTCCATTAAGAAATATGCACAATAATTATATTACAAATAACATTCTTGTTAACTGTTACTTTATTATTATAGTTTACTGTTTTTTTGTGTCTCATTTTTATTAGTTATGTTGATTGATCTCATTATCATAGTATAATCATGTTATTTTACTGAGAAAGCTTATAGTTCCTTTATATAACCTAAGAGTTAAAAATTATGTTTCTATTACCTAAAAGATATAAAAAATGTTGTTTTATTACTTACCTAACAGTCAAATATAAATAATTTGATTGAGAATTTTAATGTCTTTCATTCAGTGGTACGACTTAAACACCCATGGTACGATTTAAAGACTTAGTGGTACGATTAAAACGACGAGTCGGCTAAATCGTACCGATGGCAAGCCTCTACAAAAAAGCATTTTTAACAATGTTAGAATAATCGCACGGATCTGTTCTCTTCTTCTTAGGAAGCTAAAATATGAAACTTTATTTTACATATGTATTAATTATTATAAGACGTGTTATAGTCGAAATATTTGAGTTAAAGTGAAAAGTGGTACGATATATCCGACTCTCCCCTACATAGTTACCTAATATTATTCAAATATACAATAAGTGCTTAAAGTAATAAAACAATAAAAACTAATGAAAATATTTTACTAAAACGAATATTAGAAAGAAAATTAAATATTAATATCCGCATCGACCGTTAGAAAAAAACAGGTAAGGGATTAACCCTACCGCCTCCCTCGGCCGGCCCACAGGGAGACAGACTTGGACACAATCAGTGAGAGACAGTTGACAAGAAGACACGATGGCGCTGTGGACTCCTTACGCGGAACAAGCCTTGGACTTGACCAAGACGTCCAACGAACGAGTTGAGGACCGGTCCACGAGACCGACCGTCCCTGACATTAGATACTCATCAGAATCACCGGTCGAGAACAGATATAATAATTACATATATGAGTACAATACTCAAGCATACAATGACTGGTCGTACCAAAAAGCTCCGTCGCCGCCGCACTCACCCGACGTCATCGAAGTTGACTCATTGGCTGATGACTTGGAGTATCAAGCCTTCGAACGAGACGCACTCCGAGCTATGGCAGAGAAGAACGGAGGAATCTTACTTGGAAATAATCCGCGGATGAGACGAGCGGTACAGACGACACAGGAGGCTGACGACTTGTATAGAAAACAGAGGGAGAGAAATAACTTCGCGGCGAAACAGAGTAGAGACAGGAGGAAGTTAAGAGAAGTCAGACTAGCCTTCCAAGTAACCTTCCTCAAGAAGAAGATTGCGGATCTGAAGGCTCGGCTCGGAGACAAGGTCTGTGGGAGATGTAAACAACAGTGTAGCTGTTAGATGAATATAGTGTGTGATAGACATTAATATATGAACGAGTTTGGTGATTAGTGTACATAAATAGATATGAGTCTGTATTGCTCTTGTACTTGATTGTAATGAATTTGTATAATAATAAAATGTATAGTACGTTACTCTTAAGTTTTATTTCAACTCATTGCATTTAATTTAGAAGCCATTATTTTCAAAAGTTAATAAAAATTAAATATTCTATTCACTATTAAATTAAATTTCATCGAGATTTCTATAAATAAAAACTTTTTCTTAACTATGAGAAAAATATAAAACGAATTCTCAAACAACCCTTGAACTATTGAATAAGTTCTAACATAAGCTTCAGTAAACATCTCCTCCCTCGGTCTGTTATTGGCTGTGTGTATGTGATAAAAGACTTGCGCACGCGCAGGCCGCGCCCACACCTATCTCACTACAACATGTGTAGTTGACATGAAGAAAATTTATTAATGTTCAATATAATTAGTATAAATAAAGGTTTTATGAAAAGTACTTCTCTTTTAATAACAAAATTAAATGAAATTTCTGTGCTGAAAACTAACCGAAACTGTGATATATTTTTTATTTTGCATTTTGTACCTCATCTCTCCTATCAGCCATCAAAGTACGATAAAAGCCTATACATATACAGGGTGACTGGTGAATTACTATCGATATTTGAGGACGTGATATTTGACGATCATATATGACAAAATAAAAATTAATATAACATAAATATTAATAAACTTCTAAGTAAAGTTAACCAAAAGTTATGTAATTAATTACGCATCGTGTGAACACCCTACAGATTAGGTATACACACACACACACACACACACGCGCGCGTGCGGCGGCGTGGTGTTGTATCAGCACGCCGTCGCACACGTCCACACTTGGAAATTTGGCCAACAATTAAGTACCTATTTTTTTTACATAATTCGAATGAGAATCATGTACCGATTATTCTCCTTAAATATTGATAGTAATTCACCAGTCACCCTGTATATGTATTAGGTATATATTTTATAATGACGATGACCATCGCGTCATGTCCAAATTAATCAATATCTTTCGTTCTTATTTATTGATCTTGTTGTCGAATAATGGTATTGCGGTTTTTATGTATAGATTATTAATGAATAGAAATCTAGCATTTTTAATTATATTTTTAGAATTTTTTCACAGAAATATATCTATGTTTTGATAATAAATAAATAGACCGTACATAATGAACTTCATTGATATAAAATATATTATTACAATAATTAGATTGCTCCTGAGTCTAAAAATTTATTAAATTTGAACATGAATAAGTAATCGTTCACAAAGACTGTCACAGTTATCATGTACCTAATATGCAATTATATCGTCCAATAATTAGTATATATCAAGAGAAGATGTTGTCATAATTATCGAAACGTTGAATAAAAATGTAAATTAATGAATACGCGTAGAAAAATCCGAAATCTATAGTTTGTTTATAATGTTTGAGATACAAATATCTGTTGTATTGTTGAAATCTGTTCCAAAGTATTGTTAATGTAATGATGTTGTTTTTGTTATTGGTCGTCAGTCGTCAGTGACTCAACTCACTGCTAATGATGTTGTTAAGATGCAAATGAATATGTTCACAACAACTCATTTGTATAAAATAAATAAATGTCTTCTGGAATAATAATATCTGTATCATAACTTTCTGTATGAAGAGATCTTTATACATATGTACATATAAGACTAGCTGACCCGGCAAACGTTGTTTTGTCATATAAATAAATAGGGGTTGGTGATAAAAAAGTAAAAATTTTGGGTTGTATGTATTTTATAATGCTACATTATAAAGAAATAAAAACAAAACATGTCTTCCGAAAAAAAATAATTAAGGGTGAACAACCCTTATGAATTAGGGATATGAAAAATAGATGTTGGCCGATTCTCAGACCTACTCAATATGCTCACAAAATTTCATCAAAATCGTTACAGCCGTTTCGGAAGAGATCTCTGTCTAAAACCGCGATACGAGAATTTTATATAAAAGACTAGACTAGAATAAGTTTAGCCTTTCACGACTTCACGAATGTTTTTTTTTGTAGGAATATTATGATTGGTGTTTCCTTTCATTGATGGTTATCGATCCTCGCTCCTCGCCAGCACGTGGCACGACCGTTGTATAAATATGAGACGCACAGCGGCTCGTGTGCGCACGAGCAGATATAACAATCAAATATTAAACCGTATACTATACTTTAATATAATACATAAACGTTTATTACAACACAGTATTATAGTAGGTATTAAGCTGATTTTTTTACATGAAACTAATATTTTTCGGATATACTAGGCGTACTTTATTTTTTGTAAAATACTACATATTCCCGTGTGTTCACATCTCGTCTGCCAGTGATCATGGGTATTGAAAAGTAGCCGAAACGTCGGAAGTATGTAGTTTATAATCAAAATTAAAGCACGTGTAGTAGGTATATATGAAAAATATTAGTTTCATTTAAATTAATAAAACTCGCGAATGTCGTAGATCTCATTTAGTTGAGTGTCCTTTTTCCAGTAACATGTAACACGTACTCGTACCTCTTATACGAGTGTCATCATTTAATCGTATACTCCTATCGCAAGTCGCTCGTGTCATCTGTCGTGGACCAGCCTCCAGGCTCCTGCTCCAGCTTGCAGCACGAGCTGTATGTAGATGAAATAACATATTGTACTGATAACATGACAGACCATCAAGATAACATCCTGATCTCATCCTTTTGGCAACAACATGAGGCAACAAAATAATAAATATGTTTGTATCATTGATTTCTTCTGCTCGTGTTATTTGTGAAACGAATCGTTCTAAGTATGTTATTAAATGGTTTTATAGTAATCAATGTTATATTAAAGGTCTAGTAGTTTACTAGTTTATATCTTCAATAAAATACAAAAAACCGCTTTCATCCGTTACAATAATTATTTCACCAACCACTATACCTCCATTTCTTTCGGTTTCTTTGATTGATTATTTCAGTAAGAAATCTTTTCGGGCGATGTTATTTTAATCTAAACATATACTTTATAATCAATTTTTCAGTAAGTATCTCCGTACGCATGAAGTTGATGCGTTTGATGTTTAATTAGTAGAAAAATAATAGATAAAACTCTTCAAAATGATTTTCTGTTTTAAAATTTTCATACTTTTATGACGAATATTACCTAATAAAATAGAATAGTGATGTAGTAAGTAGTAAATGAATGAATAAAGCAAGTATTTATATAATACCGCGTTTCTTTACAGCATCATCTCTTCATACACAGAAACGTCTTCATTTCTACCTAATAAATTTATTTTTGCAAATTTATATATACAAATATATTTTAGTTTAAATGAAAAACATAGTTGTTGAAATATATTTTATTATTTCCCCAATAGTCGCGTTCAATTCATCGTGTCTGCCAACAATGTAGCACCCCTCTTGCGTGGGGTTGCATGGGCGTTGCGAGGGTGCAACCCCATTATGTAATAATGTACATCTTATATACAGAGGAAGCAAATACAATTATTGGGAATCAAATCAACGGCAGTTTGGCTTCACCAGAGAAATATTAATATCATCTGGATAGAAGTAATTTAATAAAAAGAGAGACTATAGATAGTAAGTAAGTACCTATGTTTCTAGCTGTTTGTTCCGTTTAAAGTTTTAATTGCTCTCTATAAAAAGATTATACATCAGTCATCTTTCCAAAATCTTCTTAACATTTGAACAAATAAGTAAGTTGTCAAGTTCTTTGATATCTTATCTAAATCCCGTGAGGTTTAGTCGTCCATCGAACATCGTTCCCGTTATTTCTTTCTCAGAAAATATTTGCTTTGCACCCTTTCATGTTGAGACGCGGGAGATCAGTTTTGTGAATTGATGTTTGTAGAGATTTGCATATTGTTATACATTACCTACTTACTGCTGAAACATTTGCTGGACCAAGTCACAAACACTCACACATAGATGTTTGTTATTGAATAACAATTTGTTTACGTAAAAATTCATCTACTGTATAAATCTTTCTGAATTTTGAACTTTTTTCTTTCAAACTAGTTTTTTTTTTATATAAATTCCATGCAACACGGCGATAAAACTTAAAACTTTTGACAATTATTCAAGTGTCACTTCAGTTATGGGCAAATATCGTTCTTAAATGGTTTACTTAAGGTATTTTGGTTAGGTAATCCTGTTAGGAAATCTGTATATATTTATAATGTTATACTCAAAGAATGTTTTATATAAAACACATTGTAAAAACAGACTCAAAACTTGTACCTACTGAAACTTTAAGTGACGGAAACCCTGCGTATCTAAAAAATATATGAATGTAAAAAACACACAAACAGTTCAAATATAGTGTTGATATTAAGATATTAATAAATATGTGAATAATTTAACATATTCAGATTTAAATATTAATAAAATGTGAAGCAAAATATCTTCAAGATGAACAAAGCTTTAGAAAATTATTGACTTAAGTTACATTAAGTGTTGTTTACTGTACGTAATGAAACATTCAACAATAAACATTTATCTGATATGTAAAATTAATGAAGACTATTACAATCAGTACAAAATAATATTGAAATAAGAATATTTTTATTGGCATTGGATTTAGGTATACCTACTGGATAAATGTAAAAGGAACTTTGGATTTAGGTATAGTAAGTACTTTTAAGAAAAAGTACATTAATATTTGGCTTCTATAAAAAGCATCATAGAATTATTATTTTTTTAATAAAACTATTGTTTACAATAATAAACTACTTACCTACCTCTTAGTGGTCAAATCGGAGGCAAGGAATAATATTTATTTCTTTCCCTTGATTATCTAGAGACAATATTTTTCTATAGTTCTCAGTAATTTTTCATTATAACGTTTTTGAAAGCCAAAAAAATAATTACATCACTATAGTTTAAGGATCTTCTGAAGGAAATAAACAAAAATATTTCATCACAACCTTCAACTTGGGGCTTTTGCCTTAAACACAAATAAAATCCTTTCTCACAATGAATTCAAAATATAAAAAGCAAACATTGAAGCTAAATATTAATCCCATTCCGCGACGAAATATTAAACGAGCAAGTTAAAGCCAGCAGTCCGTTAATACGACTGACACGTGCCGCTGGTACCTGCAGCATTCAACAGCATTCATCAGCAGCATCGTTTATTGCAGCACAATAAAACTTGCGCAGTAACAGCAGTTTACAGCCCGCATTCACAGGATTATACGACCATTGTTTTATGGTCTTAAGCTACTTAACGGTTAGGTTTTTAGACTCGGATTCATATTTTTTGGAACATGTCACTAATAAATGTATGCCGTCGGTGTAATTTTGGGGATTTTTAATTTTATTATTGTATGTAGATGTAAGATTATTTAATAGAAATAGGCTACTAATATTCCTAAATAGTTTATTGGTTCTAGTAAATCATCTTCTTCAGTTTCTATGTTACAACATATGGCGGAAGTTCCCGCACGACTGGTTCATATGAATTGAACATTTAAAATCATAATCCATGATTGTTAAGACATTAATATTACAATTGTTATATGTAATTGTTACAGGATGTTGACAATATGGTTACCTGTTACGTACATGTCAGAAGGAAATTGTTAAGTTTACTTTCATTCATACTTAGTTGCTTTTAATATAGGTATGTAGGTAATAGGTTATTTTTATAATCAAGACATTATTATAAAGAAAAAGTTCTGGACAGTCAACTATAATGATTTAAAAATGTAACAATTAAAACCCTTTTATTTCAGTGGCAAAGATAGATAGATACCTATACATATTTATTTAATATCCTATGAAATAAACGAAAATGCAATATATCTAACCGAGTAAGAATATAAGTTTCTTTCAACATTATATTTGTAAGAACAGACAAATCGGATGAAATGCTGATTATTCTTTGTTATGAATATACTAATTAAATCTGAGTTGTGAGAATCATTAGTGTAGCAGTGGCAGTAAACAAACAGATCAACTAACGATCACAACAACACGAAAACACATACATTAAGATCCGTCATCTTATTATCTGACAAACAATTATAATCCCGCGTCATTACTTATACTCATTAATAACACAAAATATACATTAATAAAATAAATATTACATTTCAATGACTTACAATGTTATGTCTAACATGATATTGTGTAACTGTAACCCATAGTTACCAAGATTATTCTTAAAAGTAGGTATTAATTTAATTAAAATATCATTAAAATAATTTTGATCAGTGTGATAGCGACCTATTGTTATCACTGTACTTGTCACCTCGTCATTTGTGGTGTTAAAAAAGACAATACAGAAGTCTACATGAATGTAAATACGCAACACAATCAAGAAGTATTGTTTTCTGTTCCCGTTATCAACCGCAGCCAGCAGGTAGAAAAATCACGAACCCTTGACTGTGGTGGGGATAGCACCCTAATTTAGGCCACGCCTCCTCACGTACAAATAGTGAGGGGTGTCCGGTGACTGAAGTAGTTAACACTGGACCTTCCTCACACTTACTGTCAGCTGTGATCACTGAGATGTCTCTGTGGACGCCGTACGCCGACGACTCAGCGCTTGATCTCACAGTGAAGTGCAAATCTGAAAGGATTTCTCCGGCTCCCTTCACTGACTTCCAATATCAGTATCAGAGCACAACGGCGAGTGTCAATCCTTATCCCTACATGGCTTATCCTCAACCGATGTACGTGCCAGTCGCCGAATCTTCTCCGCTTTCATCATGCTCGGGATACATCCCTCAGCCAGCTGTAAGTCCTATGAGAACAGGAGTCATATCACCTCCAGACTCGCCTGTATCCGTCACTGATAGGAAACGTCCTGCCTACATGATGGATGTGGACTCTCTATCAGACGATCCCGACTTCCAAGCCTTCGAACGAGACGCCATCAGGGCCATGGCGGAGAAGAACGGAGGAACACTCCTCGGGAACAATCCTCGTATGAGACGAGCGGTGCAGACCACTCAGAACGCTGATGACTCGTACAGAAAACAGAGGGAGAGAAATAACTTCGCGGCGAAACAGAGTAGAGACAGGAGGAAGTTAAGAGAGATTCATCTCGCGTTAAAAGTTACGTACTTGAAGAACGAAGTCTCCAAACTCAAGTCTCTCCTTGCTACGAGCTCCTGTTCCAGATGCCGCCAACCCTGCCTCTGCTAGGACCTCTTTAGAGTTACTTTATTTATTGTAAACTTAACAGTCAGTAGTTGTAAGTTACTGTAGCGTGCAATGTATATATAAGATAATTTATAAAAATGATTTACTTATATTAAACATAATGTAAATTGTGATGTGTTATCACTAATAAACAATTTATATCAACGAAGCTTTCAACTTATTTTACCCAAGTTAAATAATTAATTTTACGAATACCATCTCATAGCTTTCAAAAGGGAATTGAGTCATTATTTCATAAGTAAAAGCAGGACCTATCTTCACTATAACAATACTGTTTTTTAATTAGCGCTTCGATCAGTACCTAATATTTGAATTAAACTATTTTTCAATATCACTCTTAATTAAATATTTCATATATCTAATAAATAACTTACAAATACGAGGAAGTCTGGTTAATATTACATTAACTTATAAAATGAAAATTAATTTCGTATAAGTGTGAACACAGCTTTATACCGTCTATATACATATGAGAACAGTATTATAAGGGGTCCATCTGTCTGTCACTACCTTAATCAAGAGAGCGATCGTTGAAGGGGGATTCTTTACATATGTAGCTTGTATTGTACGTATATAAGGGGCGGGTCGTGTCATGCGCACGCGCCGCTTGACATAAACACTCATCCAATCAAAATATTTCTTTATTCTCTATTTTGTTTGCTATTAATAAGTTATATTTTAATTATTACTAGCCTCTAAAACGTTAATCTTTTCCTAGATTGCCATAGAAGCTTTTGTTTTCAGTGGAATCTTCCAGAACCATAAAGATTCAGAATACAGTGGATTGTAATCTCGGATTACTTTTATTGCTGTACGATGGCCGGCGACTTCTCTCGAAGTGCTTGTTGTACGACGTAATAAAATTAAGACATCTCAGTTTATTGTTCATCTAAAGCTATTCTGAAGGGATTATTTTATTCTTATATTCAACATCATACAGGAGACATAATACGGGTACCTACATATTTTGATTCAATGGGTATTGTATAATTTACTGATCCTAGTTAAAAGTTGTTTTTAGACATCTATGTAAATAAATTATATTATTAATCTGTATATACCTAATATTATCGTCTCTCAATGTAAATATTTGTTACGTATGCGAAATATGAAATTAAAAAATAAATGGATATCTCCGGGGCGACATCGTTGTATGGATAAAATATATAACAAGTGACGCCGCTGACTCTACGGAACGAACACCAAGCGTGTGAACCAGAAGATTCCTGATACCACACAAGCTACGGAATGGTATTGCTATCCTAACATCGGGTCAATCATGTAGTCTCAGGTGTAGGTTATAAGTTTTAATATGTAATTCTTATTATACTATACAAATATAAGTAAGTATCGTAGTTTTTCTGAAACTTCCTATTGCTATCTTACGTAATTTATCTATAAATGTTTGTGTGATGTATAAGTTTCTATTATTTAAGATATATGTATAATGAAACACTCTGTTAATTCTTAATTTATTTATTCTACGTCGTTTGTTTCTATTCTATCATACTTTCTGTTTGATGACGTGTGGTAAGTCGTACTTTCCTCGCACGCACTTCAACTTAACGCCGGGACAATCCTTTACTCTGAAATGATACATAATAAATATAAAATATATATTTCAACATAAATCAATCATATATTTATAACACATGTATTTTAATTTAAAAGATACTAACTAAAAGTATTCATTTAAACATAACATTTACACAAAAATCAAACAAGCATAACTTAAGAAACATACATAAACTTGAATTACCTAAAGTCAGAACCTTAAACTATAGACACAAAAATATACGTTTTGATGGAGTAAAACTATATAATGATTTGCCAAACTACATAAAGGAATTTAAATGTTTAATTGCTTTAAAAAATAAACTTAAAATATTAGGCAATATAAAGTAGTACTAGCCATTCCATGTATCAAATATTAATTAACATTATTTAATCTCATGTAAGTGAACCTGTGTATGTTCTTATGAGAATAAAGATCTTTAATTTATTACATCCCATATGATATGAAGAGACCTTGTATTATAGCTACTTATTTTTATTATTACACGAACCTGCCAACTCTCACGAGCACGATGTTATGTTCTTGAAGGTTGTGTCCTATCCCAGGGATGTAGGCGACCATTTCCTTGCCGTTAGACAGTCGTACCAACACACACTTACGATTGGCAGAATTCGGTTTCTTTGGCTTCTTTATCAATGTCTTTAATATCACACCCTGTTAGAAAATGACAAATCATTATATGGAACTGATTATTAGGATTAGTACGCGTATTTTATTATTTTAAAGTACATACTTCCGGAGTTTCTGTTACTTTTCAGCAACCGTGATCATTAAGACGAGATGTAGTCTTGTTAAAATAATAAAATACGCGTAGTTACAAAAACAATATTACTTTCATTTAAATGAATAACGTGAAAGACTAAGATCGTATTATAATAAATCAAAATTATGTTATACTAAAGTTACTGAAAAAAACATTATTTTAATGAAATATCATCGTTCAATACTTTTTAAATTACTTGTAAAAAATATCTACTCATAAAATTACTGAAAAAAACATATAGTACTCTTATTCAATACTAGCTTTCCGCCCACATCTTCGACCGCGTGAAATTCGGTTATATCCCATTTCCAAGAGAACCTTTCAAAAGTCTGGGATAAAAACTATCCTATGTTCTTTCTGAAGGTCAACTCTATCTCTGCACCAAATTTCATTAAAATCAGTTCAGTGGTTTAGGCGTGCAAGCGTAACAGACAGACAGACAGAGTTACTTTCTCATTTATAATATTAGTAGGGATAATTTGTTACAGATTCTTACAAGTTTTGTTTCTTAATAATCATTTTGGGACTTTCAAACAGCTTAAAATCTTAAAAATAACGAAGACCTTATTCCTTAATGTAACAAATAACACATCTTATTTTTTACATGGCCAGGGCATGAATCGCCTAGTATCGTGGTAATGATTTATTTATCAGTGGGTATACCTTAGCGAATGGTTTCCCGTTCAGCGGGTTCCTGGACTTCCTCTTCTTGATGTGAGGACCTGTCTTGTGCATCTGAGCGAGGGATGCCATCGCTCGTGAGATGAGACCATCGGGGCGAGGAGAGAAACGGGATAGTGTTTGAGAGAAATTATAAACTGGCGTTGGAATTACTGGTGCTGCTGAAAATAATAAATATTAAATAAGTAGAGAGAAGGTGTATTTGAATGTATGGTATAGTATTTTCAAGTCAATAGATCGATTGATAGTGTTAATAGATTTAATAAAAAAATTGAGATCTTTTTAAGACCGATATCCATCTAAAAACTTTTCATCACCATACATATTTGTAGTTAAAAACTATTTTTCAAAACCTAAAATTACGGTATTAATATATAAAAATATACGAGAACCGTAAGTATGGGTCTGTTGAATGTACATTTTGTTATGAAACTTATATAATAATGATCGGTTGTCACCGGATTGAATCATAACGCACCCACACTAAGAGCTCCACACTACCGTTACATGACAATAGTTTTAAAGCCGCAGGTGTCAAAAGACACGCGGCGACGGATAATCCGCTCATCATCACTAACAGGGAAATATCTACTTTATTACGATATACATAAGATATATAACACATTCATTATACAACGAGATGTGCAACTAATACAGAGTGTATGCAAAAAAATATATATATCAATAGATTGTCAGAAATATTTTAATGGATGGGTTTATATGAGTACTGTTAGAGAACGGCTGGCGACCAAGGATTGTGTCAATTGTGATGATGAAGACACGGAGTATGATTGACAACCACATAGCGATTAGATACAGTAGGCGCAACAAGTGTGGTCTGCAGATACAATGCAGTAGGAACTAGGGAGGCTGTTACTTGATAGGAACTTCCTTAAGCATAAGATTTGGTCTATAGATCATAGTCTTTAGTCAAGTCAATTTCTTTCCTCACATTCAGTGGAGGCGTCTTACAGTTTATGAATCGGTAAATATATTTCCAAGAAGCCAATACACAGAAGTTATGAGTAAGTGAGTAAGGCGAGATGTCGCCTCGGACACGTTCAACTGTTGTTGTTTGGGATCAGTCTCTTGGGATCAACTTGCATCTGTCTAGCGCAAGCAAATATTTGTGATGGGCCCAAGATATGAACTTTATGTGGACATTGGAATCTAACGGCTCTTTATGATAAGATATTATTGAAAAATATTTGTATAAAAATGCATTATTATACTTCAAATTTAATTTAGACGTAATACAGAAAAAGATGAAGAAAAATTATTTTTAAACGATAAAACTTCAAACTATTTTCCTATTTTCTTATTGAATATAACTATCATTTTATTCAAATCTTTGGTTCTAATTAGCTCTCTAAGTTATTGTCCAAAAACTGATGATTGCAATGAGTAAAATTAAGTTTAATGATCGTTTAAGAGACCTATAAACAGCGACTCGCGTCATCTCATGTCTTGGGATGCTGGTCGGAGAGAGTACCTGCTCTTTTTGAGGATTATAATCCGCTAATAGTGGGCATTGTCCGCACATGACGGACCAACGGAGATTTGAAATGATTCTGACAACGTTCACACAATGACAACATTAAGAAAAAATATCACAAACACAATGGGATAGAGTTGGACCGCGGACTTATTGTTGCTTCCCAGAACTGTTGTAAATCATATTTGTGTAACATTAATGCCACCTTATCAGTCGTATCAGAGTACCCGATGTTGCAAACCAATCCTTTCATACTTAATAATAAACGAAGGACTCAAACGTGTTCTGAACATAATCCAAGGACATATATAATAAAATATTGTCATTTCTAAGAATCATATGTACAAGATAAGAAATGTACAAAATTATAACGATTATGCAACAAACACTTAAATTAAGGACAATTCATAAAAAAAAAATTACTAATTTGCAACAAAACGAAGTTATAAAAATTGTGTTAAATATAATTTCTTCTGCGACTCTTTTTGCAATCAAAAGTAAATTTCATTTGAGCGGTCTGAACACAATAGTACGTCGTCCTGAGAATGTGTTACTTATTGAGATCCCACGCAGCCTCTGGACCCAATGAGATAATGAACAGCAGATACTTTAAGATATATGTACATGCTTTAGCAATATAAACATGCATCAATGGTCGTGGCTACTGTGGTATATGCTACTATTTTCTTTATCTAATTAATTAAACAGATTTCATCCATCAGTCTGTGAATGTCTACAGTCTAGACTAAGTAACGCAAATCATAGACTCCTAGTTGTGAGTCTAGACTGTGAATAAACATCAGATGTTGATGACATTACAGACATCTATAATTTTATGTATTTTAATGAATTTATCAGTGACTTTTACTAACACAAAGTTAATAATTCTATATAAATATATATAGCTAACAATTGAATTTTATGTATTAATATTTGTATGAAAAATACATTCTAATGTAGTTATTGACACGTTGTGAGTATTGTCCATTTTGTATTGTGTATGAATCTGCAAGTAACGCAACATTGAACAGTGAGGGAGCGGTCACTCTAGATACTGACCCTACACACTGTGAAGTAACGACAGAAGATAAAATAGAATTTGAGAGAAAATTATATTCGTATATTTAAATCACATCTCGTCTTAATAATCACTTTTTCTGAAAAGGAGTCTAAACGTCGGGAGTATGTAGTTTTTATCAAAAATAAACCGAATAGTACATATGTATGTATAATCCGAAAAATTATAGTTTCATTTAAATGAACAAAACTCGCGAAAATCTTAGATATTAATAGATATTAATATATCCGTATATATGTATATAAATTGGAATAATATATCCAATATAATATCCAATGAAAAATAAACCCGCGTACGTAACATTAATTTAAAGTTATTTTAAATCAAACAATTTAAACACTGAATAAAAATTCTGTTTTCGGTAATCAGAGCAAAAAATCCATCAAAATATTATTATTTTAGTTATTTTTTTCTGACGCTACTCCATACCAGTGGACACCATTCGGGTCCACGCGGAAGGGTTCCACTAAAGGCAGGCGCGATTTGAGTCCGTTGCAAATATAATAATATTTTTATACTAAAATCAACTTTATTAATTAATATATAAGGTTGCATTTGTTCTGTGTTTGTAAGCAGCTGTCCTAATCTCTTCGTGATGCAGATGTCCATGTAAGTGACAGTTATTTACGGTTCCTATATACTTCGATACGGTCAGGGATTATGACTTGGAGAGATTTAAATGTGTTATTATTTTAGTATGAGTAAAGTTATAATACATAAGTATATTACGTTGTCTGTACATTACAATATTTTTTAATTAACTCTCTTTAGATACAAAATATATAATGAGGACTCAGGCATACATGGTCCAAATTAACATTGACGGCTTTCAATATTTCAATCTAGAAAATATTATAAGGTGACAGTGTTTGTTTGAACGCGCTAATCTCAGGAACTACTAGTTCGAACTGAAAAATCATTTTGCCTTAAATAGATTGTTTATCGAGGAAGGCTCTATAGTCTATACTATATAACATCGCGCTGAAACTAATAGGAGCGGAGAAACAATGAAAATGTTGGAAAAACTCGGAAAATTATTCATCTTAGAGGGCTTCCGTTGCGTGTAATGTAAAAAAATTGTGTAATTTTTAGGATTACAAAACAATATGTGTGAAAGAAATATTCCTCTTCAAATGATCTAAAAAATATCTAATATATGTCTCTCTTTAAAGATTAACTCACTAGAATCGTTTTTATGGTAGGCAAATATGTATGGTCGAAATTTAATGCATTCTTACCAATTATTTGGTATAGTTGCATCAACATAATAATAATAATCTTTATCCAAATAAACGTGTTGTTTATTAAGAGTATTTATTTGTGAACAAAATAAAGCAACAAAATAATTATGTTCTTTTAAAAACTGAAAAACTAATTTTTCTAAAGTAATAACAGAAATTGACGCGGACAAAGTAGTGGGTAACAGCTATAATTTATAAAGCTGAGGAGGTTGATTTCAAAAATAAATATGATGACCAAGATAACTATTCACGCGGACGAAGTCGGGGGCATAACTAGTTATATAGTTGATAATATCACAAACAGAAGAGTAATTAAAGAAAAACTAGAAACTGTTTTCAATACGAAAGATAAAATTGGAGATACTAAGAAATACATGGTTTAAACAATATAGAAATATTCACAGAATAATGTGATACACGCGTAGTTAGAATGTTATATTAAAACAAATGTTTTATCACAATAAATATAAAATTAAAATAAACATATTTGTTTTCTTTACTTGAGGTATCTGTTTTAGAAAAAAAAATAGTTTTCTCAACATTTAACTCACTCAGGTACATGTGTTGATGAACAATACATTCCAATAAGAATGAAAGACGGAAATATGTAGACTTGTTAGAACTTAGATAGATACTATAAGACTAAAATCACATATATTATTTCTTCAACCTTATTTTACAGTAAGAATCTGTTTTGATACTCTTATTTTGAAATATACTTCTATTATAAGTGACTAAATCTTAAGGGATAATCATAAACCAAAAAGCTTTCCATATTTTTGAATGAGTATACTTCTGATCTGATATTAATCAAACATAGCTAAGAAGTGCTGCAATGAAAATGGTTATTAGAAGAAAAAACTACATAAAAATTAGTAGATTTGTTTAAGAGCTACAATGGGAAATACACACACTCAGACAAAATGACAAACTTATAAGACTTTACAATGGTGGTTAGAAATGGAGAGTGAATGTGTTCAATAATATGAACTTAATGTATGAAGTGAAAATTAAGGCCTTACATTGAAAGTTAAAAATATTATATAGTGACAAATGAAATTACTTTGGATACTGTTCAATTGACTTTTTGTATACTGTTTTGGTTCCCAAGTTAATGAAATTATTCTTGTATTGAGCACACCAAGAAGATCAAACGATATAACTCATGACATCAAGAAAATCTTTTTCAGATATAGAATGTATTCTTACAAAACATATTAGACCAAAGTCTAATGAGAACTTATCTCATGCCATTGAACAAAAGATTTATATTGAGAAACAAGGTTCATATTGAAAATATTTATAGGTACATTGAACAAAAAAAATATTAATGATGAAAATTACAAAGAAAATGGTACATAATTGAATATATGGAGCTCAGTCAATACTCAAATAACCTCAAGGATTGGCTCGTTGTATTCCGAGGTTACTCTATTAATATACAGGTAAAACTAAGAGTTGCATTGTGTTGTCGGAAATAAAAGATGTTAAGATACTACTTGCTAGTACAAAATAATTTAATAATCTCCAAAAGTTACTCTCCTTTGATTTACCTGTTATGAGTTTAATAAGCTATTATTTCTTACATTATCAGTTCTGATGGCAATGCTGATTCTTTTATATGTAATGAAAGATTTGACAGAGTGGTATATTGGCTATTCCACAAAAATGAATTACTTACTTTGAATAGTGAGATTTAATAAAGATATTTTCTTATTTTTATAAAAATTATTATTCATCTTTATACACATGCGAAAGCAGATAGGAAAACCTCAACCAATCTTCAATCAACATGTCAATTTGTGGATACGGTGAAATAACTGACAAATAATGAATTCTTGTGTTATTTGTTACTTAACATATATATAAAGTAGCTATTTATTAGTCTTTCATCTGCTTTCTTTCATATCATTCAAAATGTTAAAAGATGTATAAAACCAAAATATAATTATATAATTAAGTTTATATGCAGTACCTCATTATTAGTATTGGTTGGAAGTTTAATCTTTATTTATAAGTTATAAATACCTCTACAGGCAGTATATTGTGTTCTTAGGCCAAGAGACAGCAGAGACATTCCTCTTCTCAATAAATTCATCTAAAAATACGAAAACAATAAATTATTATGGAAAAACGTTTACAGAATTATCATATGGGTGAAATTGATAATGAATACTATTTGTTTTACCTTGTTTATTAAGTTTTAATTAAATAATTACTAGTAATATTTAAAAAAAAAGGAATTTAAATTAGTAGTTTTTCACAACATAACCTAAATTTTCCAATAACAACTGTCACAATATATTTGACATAACATTTAGTGACATAAGGTTTTGTCAAATATTAATTGTACACATGATACAATTTTATATTAATGACTGAGTTTGTAAAATATTAAATTGTATTATTATTCATATTTTAAATATATTAATTCCCTTCAAACAAGGATTTATAAAATAACTGACAGATAAATTTATATTAACACAGATGGCGCCACATACCGAGTAAAGTGTTTTCCATATACGACAACAGATGGCGTGTTAAACGATGATTTTATTTTAAAGTTTGGTTTCTAACAATTAGTAATTTTTTGATATACATAATAATATATGACATTCATTTTAATTTATTTCCTTACATTTTTTTCTAATATTGCAATATTTAGTATGACATATTTTTGACTAAAAGCGTCATATTTTTAGGGCAAGTTTTATTTTTGCCGAAGCACTTAATAATCAGAATAGCTTATCGATATATTTTTCAGGATAATAAAAGTACCACATTTAGCTATAATCCATATACATATCTAGTTTACAATATCTGCCTAAGTATCTTATATAAATCGATTCTTTTGTCGAAGGTCAAATTATTAAATTTCAAATTTCACGTAATGGTATTTATAAAAGTTTCAATTATGATACATAATCGATATCGATATCGATTAACGTAGAAGTTATAAATGTGTCACGAAAAAATATCGCTAAAACAATAATTGTGTAATCTGAAATGAAACGGCTGGTGTGAGGAATAAAACAGTTTTATTGAATTAAAAGTTGACTCTGAATCTCTCCAAGTTATATTAGCTTCGACTTCAACATTTACATGGCGCGATGACTGTTTTAACATAATCCCTGAATGTTAGGGACTTCAATATAAAGTTATTTACGTGTTTGTTTTAGATCGTTTTCATTGAGCTGCTATTTAGAATTATATTGTCTCATTTACTTAAGGAAATAAACGAATAATACTTTATAGAATTTTCTAACAATTAGTACCCTATTGTCATGTAGATGTCAACTTTCGATGACATTTATTTATGTATTTTTATATTTTGATCTGAAGACATACATTATTACTGAGCGTGGGTGAAGCGTACCATGTATTCAGAAGTTGATTGTTATAATATACTGTAATGTAGTGATAAAACAGACATTAATCGTATTTAACGAGCTCGCCTCTGAGCTCTAGGAGTTATGAATTATGATGTAGACTGTACATTGATAGTGATGAGATGTTTAACGAATAGTGTTGCTCCCGACGGACACGAACAGACCAATAGCGAATGATTACGAGTGTTTGGGGTGAATGGGGATTTAAGATACGAGTACATCACTAGCGTCATCTATGTTGATAATTACAAAACAAACACCAAACAGAAAAGTAATAAGATTTTTGTTACATATATTAATTTATTTTGGATACATACACATAAACTATTTCAATAAACTTTCTATTAATGATATTTAGTTTTTTTTTGTACAAACTATATGTCAGTCTATTATTCTGTTTAGTCTGAGTGAGGTCAGGTCAATGTTTTCTGACAGAAGTAAGGTTGGTGCTGGTGACACCAGAAGTCTCTGAGGCCCGGGTTCATGGCGTCCATACCGACACAGTGGGGCTCCTCGGGGGCGTCGCTGGAAATAATACGATATACATGTATATAAAAGAAAGTCGTGTTAGTTACTACACTATTTATAACTCAAGAACGGCTGTACGGGTTTGGCTGGAAATTGGTGGAGAGATAGCTTAGAACAAGGGATACGATATAGAATATTTCTTAGCTGATTAAAAAAAAAATTATGTTGATCAAATCCAAAATCTTTTTAGTTCTTATCCACGGTCTTTAAAGAGGAATAGAGTTCGCCCGGTCAGCTATACATTTCTAATTCTGAAACTAATGCAGACGAAGTCGCGGCCGAAAACAAGTATATGTATATTAGTAATAAAGGATTTTTCACTTCCACTAATATGAAAAACCACGATATGTTCCACTGATTGATGTTTAAGTCTCAAATGCACTGTTGTTGAAGAATTTTTACATGGAAATGTGATAACTGATAAGGTATATTAAAAACGATTTAAAAATAATCTTAGTTCTGTAATAGTCGCCTGTAATAATTATTCGGTAAATTCCATTCGATTTTGGCAGAGTATTTCGTTTTTAAATATAATTTGTTAACATCTGTTTTGAGTAAAAATAATTCCTTACAAAATCGGCTTAGTCTCTGAATTCGATGATGTAAAAATAACTTAATAGAAGTAAATAATTGAACTCGAGACACGTACAGAATGAGATGATACTATTTGAATTGTTTTTTTAATAATCATGAGTGCTTTTTATTAGTATTATTTATATTTTTAACTATATGTATTTTATGTCATATTATTTCCGTCATTAATGACATTTGACAGTGTGAAATGTGCACAGATTAATCTGCCAATGACACTGAGTATGAAGATATTTAAGATCGTTCGATTAAGAAATCTAATTATTATAATTTCTCTATAGTTTATCTCTTGATAGCTTAACAAATTATCTGCATATTAAGATGAGAGTAAAGTTAAGTTTTATAGTGATGACGGATGCGTACGAGTGTGGAGAAGAGAAGGCGAAAGTTTTATAAACCCTTGTATTCACGAGACTAATCGGTTCGGGGGGCTCAGTGTTATGGTGTGGGGTGGAATAAGCTCAACGGGTTAAAAAGAGTTGGAAATCTTAAACGAGGTTACCGTAACTGCTGCCAACTACGTAGAGAGTGTGGTCCGACCTCATATTCCCTATGCACAACGAGTGGGCAATAATTTTACTCTAATGCAAGATAATGCTCGTGCGCATACCGCTCTCCAAACCCAGAGGCCACAATCTGAACCTAATATCTCTGTTTTACCATGGCCTCAATGAGCCCCAATTAATAAAAGAAAATTATAGTGAAGTGCTCAGTGAACAGGAACTCATAAAAGCTTTTAAAGTGTGCTCGGAGCAGATACCACAGGAAAATATCACCCATTTAATTGAAAGTGTCTCAAACAGTGTATTCTACACCGAGGAGGGCCTACTCTACACTAAAGATACATCTGTGTAACCAACCATATTTGTTTAAGTAATGAAAATCAAAATTGTCAACATCACTTTTTTGAGAGTGAATTTTAAGTTTTAATGTTTGTGTATTTTTAAGGAAATAAAGTTTTTTCCATGATTTGATTTGTTTAGACAATTAATAATACTTTACCCTCAACACATCTATCCATAACAAACAATTTTTTGTGTCAGTTTTCATTTTCAATAATAAAAACCAAGTGGGCCCTATTTTGTTTTGACTAGTTTATTATGATAAAAAGACACAGATAAATAAAAATAGAATAATAATTGTGTTAACAATTATTATATTATTATTAATTAATGAAGAGTTTAATAATATTGATAAATAGTCAAATCATCCTTTAAAGACAAAACATTGGAACTATAATCTATTTTAGCTAAAGTTAATTTAACTATAGAATTACAATGATCATTACCATTTCATAATGATAGAGGAAAAGTTAAAGGATTGGATTTTTATTTTGATATGAGAGATCATAATATAATCATAATATAATTTATGACCACTTTAAAATTTGGTAATCAGCATACTGCATGCGCATGAAGCATAGCTGATGTTAGCGAAAAACTATATTTTATGTAATGTATGTCAAAAATAGAGCTCCATTTTAAAATGGTAGTTTGATAATGGTTTTTAAATTACCTGTATCCTTGTCCGTTGTGACCTGCCCACATATGGAAGCCGGTGTCAGAGATGTTCTCTCCTGAAACATGAATAATAGTTTATAGGTAAGATTATCGACATTGATACCAATATTATATAGATTTTAATTATAACAGGATATTGAAAGACTTATTTTAGTAGTGAAATCTTTACTTATACTAAATTATATATTATTCTCCCGCTAGTACTTATTCTTATAACTTTATTATCTTACCGTTGTAATACGTGAAAATCGTTATAACATCACATACATACATTGCATTGACAATATTTTAATAGGGAACAGTTTTTATTCAACATTGCTTTATACCATAGACAATATCGGTTCTGTGATTTATGACACTTAATTAAAGATTAAATAAATTCTCATCACATATTTAAATATTGATGAAATGAAACTGATTAAGATTATTGACTTTCCTTAGATAAATAAAACGTAAGCTTTTAAAAATGTAACTGCTTTTTTAAACATGAGATCATTTGTTTAAGATGACCTCTGACTATCGTTTAATTTCATTGGTAAATAAGATAATGAAGTCTCCATCTGAATATATTACATTAATTAAAGACAGTTTCTTTAAAAACTATTTTCACTCACAGTAATATCAAGAATGGGTACTTATGACTTTGACTACAGTTGCAACTAGAAAACAGCCAAAGTAAGCTTAAAATTCAAAAGATGAATAACAAATACATGTAAATTTATACCATAATGTACCTAGATTTGAATTAACGTACATTTCTTTCCACCTTCAGCCGCAGCATCAAGCACGCGATATTACCATGATTTATTCTAAAGCCTTTCCCATTAAACCGCGCTTACTATAGGATTTATGTTCCACATACTAACTCTCAACGAGGAAGGTCAATGATGCTACATTGCATTTCACTAATCGAACCTCTAACGGAAATATTTGAGTTTTATTATAAGGTACAGCGAATATTATAAAAATATGATAACAAATGAAATAAATATTACTGTAAGCATATGTTTTTATGTATTAATATAGTTATAAGTAAAAAATTTTGTGTGTACATACATATAGCCAGTCGAAAACCTTATGAAAGTAATTTGTCTTCACAAACTGGTTTTATACTATAATTTCAGAGCCACTATCATTCATAGATCAAAGTACCGTTATTATAATATCACCTACCGTCAATATTCGTCCATACAGTATAATTCTGGAGGTTATTGATCCCGAGCCACACAAGCATCTCCAGACTACTGTTTTTGATGCGAGGGTAGTGCATCGCTCGGACTAACTTCTGCAAGAACAAGAACTGCTCCTGTGGATAATAGATGAATTTGATTTTACGATTTTATTATAATCATGGCCCAAACAAAAAATAACCACAAATATGTGTCAATAACACTTTCAGTTAGGTTAAAAAATTTAATATTTCTTCAACTTTTATCTAAATAAATGTGTTCTAGTGTTGAAAGACTTGTAAGGACAAAATGTATGGATATAGACAAAATAAGGAGTTCATTGTAACTGCCAAAACAAAAATACATATTTAATTACTTTTCCAAAAATATTTGCGAAAGTCTTAGATCTCATTAAAGATACTTCTATTGGTGCAGTTCTGAAGAATGAAGATGACAAGTCTTCAATATTATACTAAATGATTCTTAAAATAAATGTCATATACTATATTCAGTTGAACTCCATTTTTTAATCAAAATGGTCACGAAAAAGGTACAAGGGATTGTTTTCCAACGATTAACAATTCTCTCAATGTAAGGTCGTCTAGTATGTCTGTTTGTTTAGGACAATGTAAAAATAATTGTATGCTCACTTAACTGCCGACATTTTAAAACCTCTTTTTTGGAAAAACGTTACAAAATAAAGATATATTTTTGTGTTTCCTTCATAAAAATACTTCGTTTATTTTATTCCATTATAATAAAAAACAATGTTGCTATTAATATCAATTAAATAATCTTTATTTATGAAAGTTTCAATGGAAATCTTGCTTATGGTAACTTTTAATAACTTAAAGTATATATTGTCTGCTAAACATAAAAAATATTTGTTCTGACGAAATTAAACTAGTCAGTTTTTGCTAGAGTTTAGAATATTTAATATAATTATGATTATAATTATTTCACCTGTGTTTTGGGGACAGCCAGTTTTGCTCCTTCATCCTCACACTTCTGCCTGGCTATCGGCCAGGGCTGGGCGTTGTACACCAGACGATAAGAGATGCCTGTACTTTTATCGGTCACATAACCTACAATTAATGTATTAATATACAATTATATACTAGTCGTGGTGACCTAGTGGTTAAAGGCCCGTGCACGAGGGCGCGGGTTCTAAACCTGGCAAGTACCAATGTAATTTTTCGAATCATATGTCCTCTCAAAGATTATTTAGACACTACTAACAGACGGTGAAGGAAAACATCGTGAGGAAAACTGGACTTATAATTTCCAATTTTAAGTTCGAAATCATCAACCCGTCTTAAGCAAGCGTGGTGATAAATGCTCAAATCTTCTCCATGTGACTTATGAGAAGGGGCATTTGCTCAGCAATGGAGTCTGATAGGCTGATGATGTACCAATATATACTAATATGTAATAGATAAACATATTATTGATATTATTGATTAGATGTCGCTGCTAAAAACACAACGTATATCATTAATCACTTATTGCTTGCGAATTATAGAATAGCTTATACTAATGAAGTGTCTCTCAAGACTTAATGACAATCAGACAAACAATGTATTCGCCAGTACAGGAGCCTCAGGCAGTAATTCATATTTCAGTCTTCTATTGTGTCGGAGATTCCGATTGCATTTTTTATTTCGCTTTATCTGTAAATTGCGAGATAAAAGTTGGGTGAATGTGAGTATCAGCGACCCGTTAGGAATGTTGCAGTGTTAGGTACTCATTACCGTCTGTATGACAGACACGTGTCTCGACATTGAAATGTTAATGATTGGAGACATTTTATCGGACTCATTTTAGTCCAAGAAAGGACAAAATCTTTGCAGTTTTATTGTCATTTGAGCGGATATTTAATTACTAGTCAAGATATGAAATAAATTAGTTTTTATTTGGCATTAGATTCTAAGTATTGCAACCGTTATCATTGCTAAACCGTTAATGTCATATCAGGCAATAAATATTGAAAATAAAAGATAAAGAAAATGATTTCTATAATGACGTATCTACCATATGAATAAAATGTTCAAATAGACTTTATGAGTCTATATTATTATAGTATGTATTACTATAATAATATTGAAGAGGGTCGCTAACAGCCGCACTCACTCCACCACAGCCACGAAACGGCGAGTATTTTTAAATCACTAGTTTTGTGCAATTTACAGTCGGAAGTCACTTGACTGTGTACGGTCAACAGACAGCGGTACTGGCTACTATATTATAATATATATGTAGATAGAGAAATATTTATATATTTCTCATTTTATAACAGTTTCTTATATTACTTTAGAATACACATATTAAATTTCATATAATTATGTTTATTAAATTTTTAGGCCATTACTATGCAAAATGAATAATTTCATCACCTAAGTATGTGTATTCGACTAACTTTAATTTAAAAATTGTTAACAATATACTAAAATGTTCACAAAATATATAAAATATAAAGGTTCTATCCAAAGAATATATTATTTTTCTTATGATTATTAAGAATACTCACTAAGTATATTAATGAATATATAATTGTTTTGCTGTCGGTACCTTACCATCGGAAGCACATCGTCCGCAGGTCAACACTGCAAAGAATGCGATCTGGAGCCTGCAATCATGAGATGACATCCTTTAACATTATACTCCTTAGTGTGTGTGTGTGTGTGTGAGTGAAGCACGTACTACCCACATGTAGGTCATAGAAATGAAACTAATATTTTCGGATTACTACGCGTATTTTATTATCTAAAACTACATGCTCCCGACATTTTGTTAACTTTATAGCAACCGTGATCACGGAAATACATATAGTAAAATATTAGTTTCATTTAAATAAATACTCGCGATAGTCTTAGATCTCATTGGGTCATAGAAATTAACAATGTTTAGAGATTTTAAGGCAAGTTACTGATTGTTTATTACAATAAGTTTAATCTTTTATTGGGAAGTTTGGTTTAAAAAGAGAGGAAAATACATTTTCCATGAGTTTATATTTTTACTGTGAAGTGTGGACTAGATTATTGTCAACCTCGTTAATGTGGAAGATTCAAATAATAATTGACATTATCTGTTGTTCTTTAAAAGAAATATTATGTATATTATTACAAAAACAATAGTCACTTATTTCTTTAAAAAAACCTCTACATATATCTCAATACGCAACATAATAGCTACAAATGTATTTTTATATTGATGTTATATTGTAACCTTATATTAAACCGTGTACTGTAACTTGGTTATTTTAACCCGATGTAATAATGTAAGTCTCTGTAACTTTATAACTGTGTAACTGGCATTAGGTAACTGTAATCGCGCTCCAAGATAAGTGTGTGTTAATTTAAATACTTCAAGATTTTAAAACAACTCGTACGAGTTTCGTAATTTTTTGTTAATAAGATATAAGTTAAAAGATTATTTATTTTTAAATATATTTCTTAATGTTTGTTAGAAAGTAATATTTATATTAGCAAAAGTACCTAAATGTATTAAAATATGTCGAGAGACGTAAATGACACTCACCTCATGGCGGTTTCTGAAGAATGACGATCAGTAATATCTGGAACAAAGTAGAAAATCTTCAACAATGTAATTTTATGAATGCAACTTTGTTAAAAACAAACCTTTGACCTGAACTTAACACGCGCTGATAATAACATAAACGAAAAACATAAGAATAGTAAAACTGGCATATAAAATATTATTACTTATTTGTAAATATTAATAATTAAATTAATATACACTTCTATAGGAAACTATTAAAATATTAAAACAAAACACATATTTCTGAATAAGAGCGAACTGTAAAATAAAAAAAGGAAGTACTTACTTATATACAGATTGACACTTTACACATTGACAGCATTCCTTATATACATAACATTTTATTATCACACGTTGTTTAGTGTTAGTGATGATTTTAGTGTAGCTGTTAGTGTCGGTGGTATGCGGTCACAATGAGGAGTGAAGTGAGTAGTGTATAGTAACGGTACACGTAGACTGATGAATACAGTATACACAAACTCAATAACACGCTGAACGGGTTTAAACACATACACATAATTAAAACTTATCAGAAATCATATTTTAAGAGGTTTTTTTGTTTATAATTATCATGATCCAATTTAGTTAAGTGTATTTGTTACAATCGATAAGTTCTTTGCTGGTGTCAATGGCCGCTAATAAATGTTATATGTCAAGTATTGAATGGATATCGCGTAGATCAAATCCCTACTAATATTATAAATGCGAAAGTAACTCTGTCTGTCTGTCTGTTACGCTTTCACGCCTAAACCACTGAACTGATTTTAATGAAATTTGGTACAGAGATAGAGTTGACCTTGAGAAAGAACAAAGGATAGTTTTTATCCCAGATTTTTGGAAGATTTTCTTGAAAACGCGATATAACCGAACAACACGGGGGCGAAGCTGCGGGCGGAAAGCTAGTAATTAATGAAATATAAACAAACTAAATAAAATTAAACATAACTTGTTAATATGATATTCAATGTTTTTATAACACATTTGTTCTTTCTTTATTTAATCCACAACCCGTTCTGATGTCCAAGATAAGTAACAATAGTCTTCTTTCCCAGTATAATTTATTGCTTCTGAGTCTTTGTTATCGATCGGCGTATTTATTTAACTCGTATTTTGTAAGTGTTGTTTGCTTTAAGAATGATTTGCCAGAGCACACACGTAGCTTCTCTTTACAATATATATTTAAAAATGAAGTATAACAACAATTCATACATTATTTCTGTACTTCTGGACTATTAATTATGTTTTCTATTGTTTTTCAAAGTAAAACCAAAATCAAAATCTAAATCATTGTTATTGGTCATAACTTTTTTAAGCGGAGGTAATAGTCGAAACTATTCAGCCCATTGAATGAATACTTTATAAAATTACCGAATGAAAAAACATCTATTGTTCCTTCAAAACCAATAATTGGAGGCTTAGATTAAAAGAGTATTAAAAAAATGAATTCATACAATACAGTTGTATTAGAAATTTATTTTTATATATAGGGCAATTGCTTTTTAAATTCTATAGAGTTGTATGAAATCAACAATTTTATTTATTTAGTAAATAGCCATAAACAAAATCATTTAACGCAAATTTCCAAAAATAATAATTATTGTCTATACTTTAATGTGATTATACATATTTTATTTTACAATTTTTATTTACATAGACGGATTAAGAGTAATTTTATATTAATGAAAAATAATTTCTATAGACAGTTGACAGTTGACAGTGGAGCTTGACAGTCAACATGATGGCTGAAATCAAATTCATTGTATTAAATTTCGTTTGAGACATGTGTAGTATATGTTGCCTGGTAAATTAAATGTTGCAACGAGTACAGACTGTTGGTACTGAAAATGTAGACAGGCGTTAGATTATACTTTGAATTAAATAAATAGTAACGACTTTGATTGTGTAATTTTAATCAGATATTAAAAATAAATTTAACTATTATAAATATAAATAAATAAATAAATCGACGCTATTTGAATATGTTATCAAACTTATATTTTACATTTCAATAAATTAATATATGTTAAAATATTTTTTTTACTCTGTAGACTGTCTTGTCTTGTATCTGTACAACCTCTCGAAACACACTCCTTGAAGTAATTCCAATATAAAGTGTCAACATGTAACACTCGCTGACAAATGACAGATAATGCTTATTTATATTATACTACGATTATCCCCGGCTTTGCTCATAATACCACTTTATTACACAAACACATGCTTACAAACAATATTAAACTTTTATTAAATTAAAGTATATAAAATATTTTACACACTATTACACATTTATAGCTAAGTCTTTCGTACGTAAACATTTAAATATAAGTTTCGGATTCGGATAACTCTAATATTATTATATCTAAAAAAAATTGCTATTTAATAAAGCATTTTAATTAATTTTAATGATATTTGAACACAGACGCAGACACAGATTAATGACGAACCTTGTTTATGTATAGAGCAATAAGTATACCTATTTAATATAAGTCATATATATATGATTATATAAATAGTCCGTAGTAGTCATAGTAAAGTGGGAGACTAATTGATGACTTAAAATATTTAAAACAAGGAGAGTTGTTCTCGTGTATTATAAGCCAAGCATCGGCGTCTTCATTGAAATATGTAATTACAAAAAGAATCAAAAGTTCTTCATATTTTTTTAGGAAATTCTGTTTCTTTACATATCAAAATAATATTTGTTTTAATACTCAAATCTGAGATCTGTTATTTTTATTCATTATAATAAAATTAACTAATCATTTATATATGTAGTTGGAATTCTCGTACCATTTCTAATAGATTTGTATTTTCTAAGCTCTCGAATTTTTTGCAGAAATTGTGAATTTAATTAAAAGAATTAGACGAGATACGATTACTCAACTGACAATATTAAACCACGAACACGAGAATAACGGTTAAATGTTGTGGTATTTTTTTATTTCTTTGTTTATTTTATTTGTACTTTAAAAATTAAATAAGGTAAAATTGATATGGAAAACTGGCTATGGTAACCACAATGAAATATTGACAGATACTTTTTTATCTACCAGTCTTTGTACATGGTAACATTTCTCTATAAGAAATAATTTGCTTCAATTCAATATATTCTGCTCAAAGTGTAGTAGTTTACAAAAATCTTTAATGGTATTTTTTTTTAATCGTTACAAGGATTGTACCCTTGAAGATGGATGATCGTTTCCGCTAAATGAATAGATAGTATTAAAGCTCAGAAAGTAAAAAAGGAATAAAAGATATAAAGTAACAGAACAATTAAAGACAGATACATTGTTGGAATGGCTTTGTTATGATCGTTCTTAAAACAATTAAATGTCTGTAACGATTTGAACTAAAAAGTAATTTTGTTGTAAGCATTTTGTTTCTTTGAATATTTTTCAAGTTTTTTTACTTACGATGTATGTACATATTGTATAATTGCCAATTTGTTAGATTTGAACCAACTTATTGTATTGAAATTTCGTTTACATTTTTTGTGTTTATTTGGCAATGTTTTAAATTTGTGATGTCATTTTTAATGCAACATGTTGGCACACCCAAGCTGGTGGACTAGTTAGTTTTTATGCACTACCATATAATATTTATTATGAAAAAAAAACTTAAAAAAGTGTTTTCAATACAGAAAAAAGTAAATAAAAATTAGAACTAGGTAAACTTTTTAAAATAACGGTTTTTTGTGAATATAAAATGAAACTAAACAAAAAAATAATAATGAATTCTAAATAAAAAGACAGAAATAAATTGAATACTAGTAGTGGTAATAATCATAGAGCTAATTTAAGCCGGGCAACACGAATACCATAACTGAAGATCTGTCAAAGCAAATTTCAGATAAATAAACAGTTGGCGGTTGAGGTACTAAAGAAGTTCTGAATTCCTCAGTTGTATCAAAAATACCGTTAAAAGACATTATATGTTACCTTAAGAAATTTATCTTTCAGAGTCCTGTCACGAAGACGGCGTCTGAAGCAACCTTACAAGATGTATCATGTGTTCTGCGCCGGAGCAATTTGCGTGCGAAAACCATCTTTCGTGAGGAATTGAAACAACTTCGCAACAATGAAGACCTTACTTCATATACAGTGAAAGGAAACGCAATAATGGATAATAAATATCGTGAGCCAGACTGATTTACCTACACAAAAACTGGAAAAAAAATTATTTTAAGTATATATGACTACTCTGGGGAAGTTCAAAATCATTAGTTAAGGATTCTTACTTGACTTTTAATGATAATATTAAACATGTAAATTGGTAATCATTTACCGACAGTGTGATCAGAGTTGATGTACATTAATTTTTTAACAATTCAACTGTTGTTGAAAGCATCAAGTTTGTGTAAAGAAAGTTAATAGAAATTAATACAGTAACATGTCTATAGAATATACAAATTTACTAAAACACTGCCAACTTTTCTAATAATCTTGCATCTTATGTAGTAGGATGAATCTTACTTACAAGTAGGTGGAGTCTCCCTGTGGGCTTCATTAAATACAAATGTAGAATTTACAAATTATTTTTTCCTTAGGAATTCTGACGGTACTCTGGGAATATAAATTCAATATATGCAGATTGATATCCCCATGTAAAATCACACCTACATTACACTGACTTATTGTTGTCAAATTTTTATTCCAGAGAAGCCAATATCTTTGTCATGCTAAATATAAGGATGAGATGCGGCATATAAAGGGTGTTCTTATCATCTACTGAAGAACCATTCGATATTGACCATAGTTGTGAGATATTCTGCCATATACCAGACTTGAATAAGGTGACTGACAGAATAGTAATATCTTGAATAAAGTTTTGATAAAGACTATGTACAAACTACACAAGAATTATTTCTTGAGATCTATCAACAGTACCATTCCTTTACAACAAGTGAGTGTATATAAACTTGATTGTGACTGGCTTGTCATACATGGGACTAAAATGAGAAGCATCCTTACAAGGGTAAAGGAACATATCTCAGACATCAAAAATAGGTGTGCTTCGAAGTAAATAGGGTGAAAGCACATAGGGGATGAACCAATTCATGGTGTCTAATGTGACAGACGGCACATCTTTACTCATGAAGACACTTACATACCAAGATTAATCCATAAGGCTGTTGATATTAAAAATCATTCAATAGAGAAGATGGTTGTCAATGATCTAAGTTATGAAATTTGTTTATCAAAATATAATATCCCTTGTCCTTGAATATGTTGATTACTGTTTTGAGCATTTAAATAAAAACTTTATTGTTATAAAATTGCTACTTTTATTCCATTTTTTGTCTCATTTAGTTGTTGATTCAGATTCTGACTAAAGGAAGACAATGTTCTTGTTGATATCCTCATTGTTTTTGGGCTTCATAATGTAGAAGAGAACATTTTTTATAGCTAGTAGAATTAATTCAGGAGTGTTAGAACATATTAAAATAAATTCAGTGTTAATTCAAATTCTAAAGAATTCCTAAATTGTATTTGTACCTCGTATTCCAACAATCGTGAATATTGAAACTAAGATATAACCCAAAAAATAAGTATAAGACGATTTTGCTTTGATTTTTATATTGTTGGTTGTATTGCTGCTACTTTTTGAATAAACATTAGTTTGTGACTGAAATTCAATTTAAATGTTTTATATGATTTTAAAATATTTAAAACAGAGCATTCTTGACCCAGCACCATTTCTATCAAACTCGGGTGACGTTCAACGAGGGTCACAACAGGAAGTTCCATTAAAACTTTACCATCATGTCTGCCTTATTTCTTGTTTTATAACTGATTAACTAAAAAGTCACATATGACAGGGAAATTTAAGTTTTAGTTCGTCTCATTACTAGATACCAGAATATCCAAAAACACTGCATTAACGTACTCTGAACTCAAAATGAAAGAAAAATGTAATAAAATACTCGAATATATAAATAGATCAAGGTCTTTTTGTAAGTATATATTAAAATAAATAAAAGAAAGGTTCTATCGATATCATTACCGACATCTCACTTAGGAATAATAGTTTGATTGACTTTTGTTACTTTGGAACGAGTTATAACATCTCAATATTTTAATAAAACAACGAAATAATTTTTTTATTCGTTTAAATTAAAAGCAAATAGTTTATAAGATTATTACTTAACCATAGGCGTTAAAATTAATCTAATACTTTTCGGATTGCTACGCGTATTATATTATTTTGAAAACTACATACTCACGACATTTCGGTTACTTTTCAGCAACCGTGATCATTTTTAAACATTGGGAGTTTGTAGATTTTAAAATAATAAAATACGAGGTGTAATCCTATAAATATTAGTTTCATATAAATAAATACTCTCAAAGTCTTAGATCTCATTAACCATACGCGTAATGAAAGCCATGACCCGCCCCATGTCCACCAAAACGCCAGCCAACTCCGTACCCACCCAGGGGATTTCTATATAGATCACGATCGTTCATTCTGTACACATTCTCAGTCACCCTGAGAGGAATTACAGTCAGGTCATGTACTGGCAGCAAATTATGAACTGGTATGAACACGGGTATTGAGTTAATGTGGCTAGTATTACTATTGAGTGGTATCACATGTAGATTTGGTACATAGAGTTGTTGTATTTGGTACTGGTATGGTAAATTTGGACCCTTCTTTTTCCTCGTGGGTGGTATGACGTTTGATAGGATCGCGATTGGCGACTCACTCGTAGCTGGGGCCAGTAGTTTCGAATTTGTTATTCGACTCGGCAGATTCAGAACTTTGTATGGTATTATCAGAAGCAGAAGAAGATGAATTTTCATCTGAAAAATAATTATAACCATTAGATAGGAAAAGAGAAATAATCAGATAAAGTCATTTAATATTTCTTCTTTAATTAATGATAAATATTTTGTGCATAATTATTTGGCCGTTTTTTATTTAATTTCTGTTTTTATGCTAATATTACTATTAATTAAATATTTATTCTTGAATAAAGTGGCAGGTATCAAGCAGTATTTTTCCTTTGCCTTAAAGCCGAGCGGAACTTGAGAAACTTAAAGTGGATTAAATGTAAAAAAATGATATGCTGTCGGATTACGAATTGTTATAAATTACATATAATATTTTAGTCACTGTTTTAGTTCATTCGCTATATGTGATATATAAAAAAAATAAATAAAAAACTTTTAATACTCGTATATAATAAGCCTTTAATACTTATAGTTAAAAATTACCTAACCCATGAAGAATTTCTTTTCATTTAATTTTCTATTGAAATATTAAAATGTCTATTAATAATATTCTATTCTGGAAATCGAAATCTATGAAAATCCTCACAAACTTTATGAAATCACAATTCACATACATAGTATGGTGAATTTAAAATAAACATGTTATTTGATCAAAATTATGGAGTAAACGGATAAATACGGGCTTGGTTAATGCACGGTAGGTACATAAACTAAGCCTCTTTCAGTGGATCATTTCATCCTTTAACTTTATACGGTAATGAACATTGTCTTTTTGAGTCAGTGGTGGCCTAGTGGTTAAGAGGCCCACCTCTCAAACTCGAGGGCGCGGGTTCGATCCTGGCCCGGGCAAGTACCAATATGATTTTTCTGAGTCATATGTACTTTCTAAGAGTATTTAGACATCACTGATTAATGTTGATTCCCAAAGAGAGTTGATGTCAGGCAGGCGGCCGGTCGTAAAAACAAAAAGACAAAACTCTTCACAACATGCAAGGCAGACCCTGGCTATAGCTGGGAAATTGCCAGGTAGAAGAAGAAGAGTAATGAACATTGTCTTTTATATTTTTACAGAAGTGCCCATATCAAAATGTTAACAGAGAATACTTTATGTTTAATGATCATTAAAACAATCCACGTGGTCAGTCGTTGTATGACTTGAGAACAATTCGAGGAATGGGTCTTGTTTCTCTTAATTTAAGAGGGACCATTTAACCCATTTCTAATTATACGAATGTAAAATAAACAATGAACAAGGAAAGCCACGAAGTTCTTGACCCATACTAACTTGTGTGCTTCCACTTCAGTCAACGATCCCCAAATTCATTAGAACTCTTTGGCTTTTGACATTTAATCAAGTTCAGTCAATAAGTCGTTAAGAAGATTATTCTCAGCAGCCGACCTTAGCGGTACATTAACTATTTACTACAAGAAATAGTTTCAAGGAATTAAACTAGAAGATTGGATCTACACGTAAGTTTCTTTGTTAGTATATACTTTATTTTCTGTGAGTCTAAACAGTTCTTTAATATAAATCACTAGAATATTTAATAAAGAAGAGAAGTATACGTATGTAATAGCAATAACAGAAAGTATTTCTGTCAGAAAACTCAAAAGGATACAATTAGTAAAACGATTTGTTAGAAGTTATCGAGTTATTGGTCTGATTTAAATACGATGAAGGAACGAAAGTGACATTTTCACATAAAAACAATATAAAATGAACATCATCCTATAGCTTTTGTCTGTTTACAAAGTGTTTTAGAGATTTAAGATTAACGGACACGACTTATGTAAGTACCGCGATAAATTTAACAGACAGCTATATTTTAAAACGATAAGGGAAATTGTGTGTCGCGGAGTTTCTTATCTTGGAGGAATCTCCTAATGACACCCTTTATAAATACACCATCATACGATTTTAGATACTTATTTCTATTCACAGTTTCATTTAAATCGGAATGGCTGCTTAAAAAATCGTATTGTTTGGAGATTTAACTTGTTTTGCGTATATCCAGATCACTTATACATAATCGTTTATTAAAGTCTAAATTTCACGTTGTTTTATAGATAATCTAAGAATTTTCAAAAACAAAAACGAAAGTTTAATGATATTTTCTAGTATAATTGAGTTTACATATTTATATGGCCGAATTGAGTATACTTACTAATTAAACAGGTAGATAAATTTAGTTAAATAAGCTCAACCTTTATTTGGAGGTCCTTTGTTACTAGATACAAATCGAAATATTTGACATAAAAAGATTATATCTTGAATTATCAATTATTAAAAAAAACGTTGCCGATTCTTGTTGAAATGTTTTATAACAATCATTAGGTAAGTTAAAGCATGGTGGGTGTCAATTATTATAATTATGTATATATTTTAGTCTTCAAAACATAACATATATTTCTATTTAAAATATTAATAGGGCCTACTGATTTTTTTTACTTATTATATTATGGCGTTCTATATAAAATAGTGAGTTTTTAAACTGGATATTCATGTAATTATTCTCGTATGCTAAAGTTCGTATGAAATGTTAAAAGATTCTTATTTTTCCACTTGAACTGTTGCCAATATAAACCCAATTTTAATTTTTTATCAATATTATTTTAATGAAAGTCAATGTTACTTCAAATGAATTTTGTTTGTAAATTTTACGGTGATAAATATATTTTTTAAGTAAATAATTTTATTAAATTCACTAAGCTAAGTATACACATTTTTCGTATTATTTGTATTTCTTATATATATTGCGTATTTTTACTTGGCATTTCTCACTGTTCACAAGGAATTTTAAGTGTTGAAACCGATTATTCGTCACATTATTTTATTTAGCTTAAAAAGTGTTTAGCAACGTTCTTTACATTTTCCAACCTTTTTTAAGGTAGTTCAATATATCTGTTAGTCTATTATTGATAAAAAATATACACACAAACATTTTTAGTTTACTGTAGAGCCTTGACACTAAATATGGAAATACATATTTGCTTTAATTTATTTATGTCAATTAAAATTAAATAAATAGCTATCTCCTTCTGCCAATTAAGACAGTCGGCTGGTGATTACATAAAATGCAATCTAATTGTGTCACTTGTCCCACTATTAGGTTGTACTAATATTATATTCAGAATCGGATCATTTACACTAAGCTCACACACGTGTGAATAATGTAACATTATATTATGTATTGAATAATACTGTCTTAGTGCAAAGGTCAACTCCTCCCTCTCCCGTACTCTGTTATGACGTCATATAAAGTTTATAATCTGTGGAGACACAGTTAATCGACAAAGAAGATCATTATCACTATTTAATCTGTGGCGATTAAAGTTAAGGCTAATGTAAACTTCAATTATACATTTAAAACAAAACATAACTATAAAATACTGTAAATTTTCATAATGCAGTCACAATCAGCTATAAACACGTTTATAATTCACAGAACTATTGTTAAAAAAATCTCACAATACCTTATGTTCAATCGTCGATACATCGACCGTCGTGCGAGTCACTAACACAGTCTGCCCTGGAGGTGTGTATATAAGGCTGTGAGGGTCGACGGTGGCTGCACTACTCTGGAACCGAGCCGGTATACGAAACATACAGGGCCATACTAACAGCGGGTGGAAAGACGAAACCTCTTAGCATTCAATGTATTCACTGTGCTAGCGCCGGGTCTATCGTTACAGGGAGAGGAGCTTCAACAGTACCCGGGACTTGAGACCCAAGTGTAGGTTTAAGGGGTAAAAACATACGTTAGATTTCTTGGCCGTCATCTGCAGATAAAACAAATCATATATCTTATTGATTATTTATTTCTTAAGCATGCATAAACTTTGGATAGTGGCCTTTAAGTTAACCTAAACATTTTCCTACTTGCAATGTATATTAAAATAATTTTAATATAACGAGTATCTGTTTTAATGGCCACCAAACAAATAGGTTTACTAATATGTCATGAGAAGTCACAGGTTCCAATAAGGCACACTATTAATATTGTATAAGAATTCTTTTCGCGAACATCATGCAAATAAATGTTGTCACATTCAATCAATGTCACAGAAACACAGCGTCTGTCTGAGACTAACGGACGTTTTGGTAAACTGGTGTTAGTCATTAGACATCACATAGTTTTACTGTTTTTTTTTTGCAAATTGACATATATTATTCAGAATTAATCAAGCATTTCTGCATGACCTTTTATAAAAATTGTGATTCACGATTTTAATTACCTACAAGTACATACTTGTATATGATTAATAATAATTTGCTGTTTTATTCAGTCCTTAAAACTCAAGATAATTTGAATACGCGGTGTTAACAACATTACAAGTAAAGCCTGCAAATGTACTATACATACATATATATGTATAATAAGAATTTAAAGTGGCGTCATTCTATCGTATGAATTTTAATAAATATGTATATTCTTGATGGATTAACAGTCGGGAGTTCCCGAACTAATTTTATCTTTTACCTACTTTGAGAATAAATTATTTTTTAGTTCCCCCCTTTTTCTGGGTCTCTTACCAGCTCCCTTTATGCATCGCCCACAAGTGGATGTTATAGCCCACTTTTTTGAAAGGCTGGCTTAAATAAAGGTATATATAATTGAAAATGATCAACAAAAAGTGTTAAAATGTTATAAATTTTTAAATCCAATCTCGATATTTAAAATGCGCTTTAAATAATAAGAAACAATTCTTTGAAAACTATATAACGTACTCATGTTGTGTTGTTAACATTTATTGAAAACCTAATAAGAACTAGGAATCTTAGTGACTTTTCGTCTAAAGATATCATTTGTGAAGTTTTTCTAACATAATACTAAACATTGCACAATACATAGTTTTTATTCAATTATTAACGTGGAAACTAACAGGGGTCAATGTTCTAGCGATGGATTTAACAAGGAAAATTCTTAATACCAACGAGTATGTCGTTTAAAATTGTTATTAAACAAATGAGCGAGGTCGCGGTATATTAAATAGTTTGTGAAATAATAACAAGACTATAAAGAGTATTATGAATTATAACAGCAATTTGAGGTCCAATAATGGCGAATAAAAACGACATAATAGTTTGTTTTCCTTAGAATTAATGTTTTAGAGTAATTGAGGAAAACTGAAGCTACCTTGGTAATGTGAAGCTGGGAGTTTATTATGCTGCTACCGAACTGTGCTTACGACGATGGCTGACATAAAACAAGCATTCAACAACAACAACGAGAGTACTTGAGAGACGAGTTGCGTAAGTTCGTTTCAAATATACTTAGCTACTAATGTAATACTAAATATTAACTTAATAATAAAGTAAATGAAATAAGAAGTTAACAAACATATTTGCTTGAATTTGATTAATTTCTTTTCATAATAATTTTTGCTACTCAACTTAGCACATGAAAGACTTTTTGTATTGATTTTTTTAAAATAATCCCAACAGTGTTTTTATTCTTCATCAATGAACTTTTATAACATTTGTTAAGTTCGCGCAACATTTAAAAAAATAAATGGACATCGCCGGGGCGACATCGTTGTATGGATAAGATATATAACAAGTGACGGTGCTGACTCCGTGGAACGAACACTAAGCCGTGTGAACCAGAAGATTCCTGATACCACACAAGCTATGGAATGGTATTGCTATCCTAACATTGGAGCAATCATGTAGTCTTAGATGTAGGTTATAAGTTTTAATATGTAATTCTTATTATAATATACATATAAGTAAGTTTAGTAGTTTTTCTGGAACCTCCGGTTGTCACCGTATATAATTCGATTCTAAATTATATCATTACATCTAAACAAACAACAAAAGTCTTTGATAATAACATTGATTTCAATGTTTCACATTTCGTTTGTGTATCAATGTTATGAGCGCTGTTTATAAATAAATTAGCCTTTCACTGTACTTTTATGAATGTGTTCTAGAGAGCCTTGTCTCACAGACATTGATATAGAAGCAGGTTTCGTTAGGACCGAATATTATAACCTCGCCAAAATCTCAGTCAAAGCTAATGGGTGTGTGGTGTAAGGTCAATGGGAGGTCAGATCATTTGAATACGTTCCAATAACACTACTTCACCGTTTTGATGACGTTTCCAGACGTAGTTATTTTATACATTATTTATATCAAAGACAATTTTAACTTCTATTTGTATAAAAGAGACGTCTTAAATTAATTATAATATCTATTTATTTTAATTGAATAAATAGTAATCTTCTTGTAAATTGAAATCTCATAATATTAATTAAAAAGAGGCAATGTAGTAAGTGTGTTTTACTTTAATTTAAAACTTTATATATTGTATAGAGTACAAGGAAGGAAGGAACACAGGAAGTAAAGCTAAGTTTCATTTTATTGCTAAGATCCTAATATTTGTTAATTTCAAGTTGAAATAGTTTGAAGGACCATAATTACATGTCCTTTGTTGTAAGAACTGAGAGGGTTTGTAGTAGTTATCAAAATATTTAGATCTTGCCATCATGGACTGTAACTTGTTTGGGTGTTAAGGAACAAATTTGCTTTGACTGTCTTATCTTAGACTAGTTGTTAATTTGTGTCTTATTTCCTATATAAGAAGAATTTAAAATATAAAATTTCCGATTTACTTCACTTTAAACACAGGCTACAGATGTGAGTTTTTTACAGAAAGAAATATTTTAATTTTTAACTCTGATAGTGTCAATATACATATGTTTATAGGTATAACAATATGGGATAATTTATTTTAAACTCTATTTTCAATTGTTAATTATTAATAAATTTTCAGCTTAATATTACAGAAGGATAATAACTAATATTTGTACTCAGTCTACTAATTTTGATTTAACAATATGAAATAAAATTCTTAGAACGTTTGAAAACTGCAATTAATTAAAAGATATTGTTCCTTTGAGTTTATTTTTGAACTGTTTTAAGGACAAAATAAATGGAAACGAAAAGTAATAGACGTTTCTTTGTACTATCTTACGAATTTGGCATCGATTCAAGTTGTACAGTGCTTTCAAACAGAGCATGAAGAGATCGTTATGGTAGAGTTATCTTGAGTCCCCTTTTGGACGCCAATATCAGGTCGACGGACATCAAATGTCTCTGTACGAGTACAGCCAAGTATAAATGCTGTATCTTAAACAAGATTTCGATGAATAACAATTATAGAAAACTGTAATCTATAAGAGGCAGTTACAGCTATTACAGAAAAGCTACTTGATATAAACATACTAGTTATATCTTTGCCATGTAGTTTTTTTATGTACTTCTTTTTTGTACTTTATAGAAATCTTTTAATCACTTTTCGTGTCATAGTGTAAGAAAATATGTCCATACATCATTTAACATACAACATACATTTTAAAAATATACATAGTTTATCATATTCTTATTTTGATTTTTGTTTCAAATGAAAAACTAATGATAATTAAATTAAAGTTTATTATTACACAGTAATAAGTCGAATATTAATAAGGATAATATAAAAAAATAATATATTTAATATTAAATCACAGGTATCCTTCAAACGTGACTTCTACCTCCCGACTGGGGAGCAGCTCATTATACTATGAAGCCTCAATATAACATCTTAAACAACGTCTCATTATACTTTAAATAAATATTTACAAAAGGAGTCCATGATTCGCGAGCTATCAAACAACATGTAAATTATACTCTTTAAACAGAACTTCTAGTAATGCCTTATAAAGCAATTTTTACAATTAGACGGATCAGTAATAGGTATCGTTGTCGTATCAATGCTGGGAATTTCCGAAAACAGAATGAGCGAACTTTCCGAAATACTGCACCGGCGGGAAAGTCGGTAATACTGGAAGTGCTGCTTGCGCTGGAACTGCCTGTTTGTATGACAGGCTCTGTGGCTGTTGTTGAGGAAGCTGTTCATTAAACTGAGCCTGGATCGGAGCCTGCTTAATGTATTGTTGATCTACAAAAGTCTGTTGTGAGGTTTGTTCAGGTTTATCAAAATATTGAGGCTGAGGCTGTTGTAACTGATAGTACTGTTGTTGTTGTTGCGGCAGCTGTGCTTGAAGTAGCTGTTGCTGGAGTTGTTGATACAGCTGTGCCTGGTTGTCTTGGTATTGTACCTGGGCTTGTGGTTGATACTGCAGCGCTTGAGGCGATTGGTATTGTATTTGTTGCGGAATTTGTTGGTAAGGGATCTCTGATAGCTGTGCCTGTTGTTGTAATTGATAAGGTATCTGTTCGTAAGTCTGTCCTCGGCTCTGGTACTGTTGAGGTTGATATTGCTGTTGGAGCTGTTGCGGTTGAAGCTGTTGTGTTTGGAGCTGTTGTGGTTGAAGCTGTTGCTGCTGAACGTGACTCTGTTGAGACTGCGTGTACAGTTGTTGGTTTTGAGTTTGGTCATATGAAGGTTGAGCTGGCTGTGAGGACGGGTTGTATGTGAAGCTCGCGAAACTCAGAGCTTTCTGTGGTTTGTCATTGTACACCTGGAAACATTAGAATAAAGAATGTGTTGATCGCTGGTCCTCAGCAGTAAAAATATATGATAGTTTTATAAAGATTGACTACATACCTGTTGCAAGTTTTGTTTGTTGAATATTTGAGCTGGTGCCGGTATATTCTTAATATCTCTTTGCTCGGGACGCTGTTTCTTTATTAGTATGGGATGTTGTTGAACATTTCTTGGAATAATTTGTATGGACTGACCCTGGACGTAGTGCAGTTGTTGTTGTTCAACTTGTCCCTGGAGCGCTTGGTTGTATTGTACCGGTTGGAAATTATTATTGATAGCGTTATTGGGAACTTGATGAATGATTGGCTCGTAGCCGAGATTCTGTTGTTCGAACGCTGATTGTGCCTGGGACTGCAAATAGTTTGATAGTTTCTGAGGTTTTTGACTGAATTGAAGAGAGTTAGCTGATGGAACAGTCTGTTGGTGTTCGGTGTACGCCAGTTGTGAAGGGACTGGAGCTGATACCTCGTATGTTGTAGGGTTTTCATACTGGAATATGATAAAAAAAAATGTTGTTATTACCATTAGGGATGAAAATTTTTATAAGAGGACACTTATAGATGTTTTTAATAAATTCGTTGTATACATAGAATTTTAATTTTATAGATTTTAAAATTTAAACTAATATTTTCAGATTACTACGCGTCATTTTATTATTTTTAGAAACTACATACTGCTGACGTTTTCGTTACTTTGCAGCAACCGTCATCACAGGCAGACGAGATGTGAAACAAATGAATACTCACGAAAATCTTTGATCTCATTTAACTCGTTATTGTCTAAGAAATTGAAAAATTAAATTATATGTTAATGTTATATAGAAAAATTTTAAACTACTTTCAAAGGGGTTTTGTAAAAGTTAAAAGTTATATAAAATATACTAACTTTAGGATTATAGACAGACACCGGCGAGTAGAGATGACTGGCGATAGCGGAGGGGAACGATGCTCCCTGGCCTGTTAGGAAGTCAGATATCTTGGAGATCTGTGGCTGAGGAGTCGCGTAGATTTGCTGAAATTGAACGGAAAACATATTAAGTAAAAAACAATTAACGTCAATGTCGACAAGAACTTATAATATTGATTGTAAAATATTCGTTTTCAGGTAATGTGAGCACGATTTGTTACATAAATATTATAAAACAAATGAGATAACCCGCTCTCATAGAAAGCGGGCAATGATGACATTTTGTCTTGATTTCGTTTACAAATACTGACTCCATATTAATTATAACTCCATAAGGAATTGTATTCATTATTGTTATCATAAAGGAATGATTGATTCAATACATTGTTCTCAATTGTATTTTGCTGATAATATCTAAAGAATATTCATTAATAAATATCCTTAATAATACCATCAGGATAAATGTACGTTTTAAAAAGAATAGCATAGTATATAAATATGAAATCTAAATCACTATGCACTTCAATGAAGTCGTATAACAATGGAAACGAGCCGAGTATCTCCCCGTCGAATTCTAACTGCAGGCTATTTTGCACCCCAGCTCCGAAGATAAGGCGATTAGTGTCATCATATTATTTCATGGACGAGACAGATCTACGGGGAAATTGACTCAAGTAAACTGACTATTTGTAAGATACAGACCTTGAATTATAGCTACGTCGAGGACAGACCGGGGTGATTGTGTTAGGAAACGTGATTGGTAGTTATGTTACAATAAGATTGGATAGAAAATATACGAACTTTGTGTGATTCATTCAAATTATTGTTTAAGACGTTTGCTATAAAAGTCAAATAAGATTAGGTTTTGGGTCATTTATAACATAATATTTTGAATACAATATTTATAATAGGTGTATAAATCACATATTTTGGTTTAATGATGAATGAATGAAGAGTGTTAAGTGTCTACCATATTTCTCCTATATTTAAATATTTTTTCATTATTCTTTGTTAAGGGTACCATGAAAGATTAGGTAATAAATATTCGTAATAAAAGTAATAAGAGTGTTTCTAAGAGCCAGAAGTTTCATATAATTGGTATTCCGCTACCATCTTCACGATTTGTGTAGCATTGAGTAGAAGTGACTTTCCATTTAAGAAAATTCGACAAACAAAAAGGTTATTCCTTCTAATACGAAACGTATTTCCCTTCTAATATATAGAGTTAAAGATGAAAAGCAATTTACAAATAATAAACAGTAATGGTCATATTAATAAAGTCGAGCTATATGTAGAATATTTAATAGTTCCTCTACCGAAGGTTAAAGGATAAGCACCCAGTTTATATTTGATATAAACCATACTTGATTATTGTTATAAAATATTACTGAGATACAAAATGTATGCTGACTGTTTGTATTCTTTGCGTATTGTAATAGAGTTCATTATTCAAGTGTCATGATAGGATGAAGCCACATATTATATAGAGGTTTAGATGCTATTCAATTATAATGTAACTAGCTGTGACAGAGCAATGCAATACCTCAGTGGAAATTAATACATCGGGATACGATCAGCGTACATTATTAATATGTTATATAATACTTGTATATTTATTACAGTATTGATGTGTCCTATGTATAAGGGCCAATGCAGCAATTTAGCCTTCATTTTTTGCTTTAAACACTTCATAATACTGTATTCTATAACATCCATTAAAAATGCGTATTGGTTGGTGGAAAGATTTGGTTTTTATCGCAGTAAAAGGGCATATGTAACACACATTTTAACGTATAAGGACTTATATACAAATTTTATTTACAAATTTTATCAAGCTTAAATGATGTACATGTATGTCATAGTTGCTATGCAAAGTTTCAAAATCATCAGTTGTCGCATGTAAAACATACATTGAAAACGCCTCTACTTAAAAATTTATATTTTGTACATTGGCCTTTATACATAGGAGTCATCGATATCTAATAATAATTAAAATCACCATAAAATTTCAAGAATTATTCTGATGTAACTCTTAATACATTGTAGTTGTTTTTGTTCTGAAAAACATTTTTATTTTGATTATCTAATATGTACATATAATTTCCATGTCATAATGTTAGTTACTGTACTTTTCCGAAAGGACTTTACCGATTTTTACAAAATTTTATATGCGAATTCAGTAGGTCTGAAAATTTGCTACTGTCTATTTTTGATACCCCTAAGTGATAAGCGTTGTCCACCTTTAATTTTTTTTGAACGAAATTTTTTGTTTTAATTTTTTTATAATGTAGCTATGAAAATATATACAACCCAAAATGTTTACTTTTTATCACCATTCCCTATTTTTTTAATGGCAAAACAAAGTTTTGGGGGTCAGCTAGTTATTCCTTAAAGTTGTTCGTCAACTGATGAGTTTTCAGACATTAAATGTTTAATGTTTAAGTACGGGCTGTTGAGTGACACATGTCTAACGAGGATGCAAGTAGTAACATGAATACCGTCGACTTAGGTATATAGTCTACAGCGAGCTACAAGTGAAGCTCACAGTCAAGAGGCTTTTACATGTTAAAGTGTTACAAATTATACATTCTCTTAAAATATGTACCACGTCTAAGAACGAGAGTCAGTACGTAATATGAACTTTAAATTCGGGCGAAATATTATGTTAAACATATTCTTAAGACTTCAGTTAAAATTGTAAAATATATCATTATTATCGGCCTATCAGAGCCCACTGCTGAGCAAAGGCCTGTTCTCTCATGGAGAACATTTGAGCATTAATCACCACGCTTGCTCAAGACGGGTTGGTGATTTCAAACTTATAATTGTGAAATTATAACTCCAGGTTTCCTCACGATGTTTTCCTTCACCGTCTGTCAGTGGTGTCTAAATACTTTTAGAACGTACATATGACTCGGAAAAATCACATTGGTAGTTGCCAGGTTACGAAACCACGCGCTCATATGTGAGCGGCGGCCTTTAACCACTAGGCCACCACGACTTTTTTTATGTAAAAAGATATGCTTTTAATATTCAATGTTTATATGTCAAGCTTGAAGTAATATATCAGGTCAACCAATAAAAATTTTGTATCTTGATGACCCGACGATCGCCATCTAACTAGACCAATCTACCAACCAGTCGACCAACTCATGTTTGCTAGATTTTAATACAATTTACATTGATTGCTGCTATTACAACACAGCTGATAATTTTGGTGACAAATAACCGTCCGGAGATAAATATCACTTAGAGAATAAAATAAGCCCGTCACGATGAATGTGCATCATTATAATAGTCATTTATATTATTAATAAACAGAAATATTACGTTGTTATGGACGTCTTGAACATTTAAACAGATTACAATGGCTTCAATCAAGCCCCTGCTCGCTTGACAGATATTTGACAAACTGACAAAAATATAAACATATTTTGGTGATGTTAAAATTAATATTGTTTGACATTAATGCAAGTAGTTATTGAGAAACTCATGGACGTATTTACAGAAATGATTGAATTATTAAAGTTCTTTCAAGTTGCTTAAATAATTTTATGTCGATATCAGGTATGAAAAATTTATAACTTCTGTATTTTATTTAAATGAAACTAATATTTTTCGGATATACTACGCGTGTTCATTTTTGTAATAACTACATACTTAGATCTCATCCTATTTATTTGACGAATAATGAAGAAATTTCGATATGTAATACATAGGTATAGAAAAATATACGAAGAGCAGTGATGAGAATTGTTGAAATAAATCACACGCTTAATTATTATATTATTTAAACGGCCAACAATAATTTAACGCGTGAATTGAACATCTCTCCATACATTTTATTAAACGTAAATATTAAAATGAAACCCGAAAATGAAAATTCCGTTTTAATCATTCTCAGTGTTTTTTATTTCGTTTTGTTTTAAACGTTCTTCGGCAATTATCTTTTTGTTGGACGTCAGCCTTAATGTTTTGTCTTTAGTCATAAATTAAAATATTAACTTTGGAGTGAGTCTGCGTTTAATTTGGATATTATTTTGCTACATTTATCTTAAAGGAGTTCTACTTATTTACGAGTTAGACCACTTTATATTCGATAGAGAATTGACTCAGCGACACACACACACACACACACACACACACACACACACAGTTGGATCTAGAGTTTTAATGAAAATACTTCACACATTCAGTTATAGAGAGGTTCATTTCAGATCAGTCAGTACCAGTTTTATAATACATATATGATAATATCGTCTTAATTGCAACTTCTCTGTGTAAGGAATCGCGCAGACTGGCTAATGTTATGAATAAAACATTAAATACTACATCTGGCGAAATTTTATGAAGCCGGCTCAGTTGGGGGCTGTCTTAATATATGTTTTTACTTATCTAGATTTCATTACATACAACCTGGTCTTATTGACTATTTTGATTATTTTATCAAGACTGATTCTTATTAATTAATTTGGAACCAACATGTTACTTGTATATATTTTTTTATAGTTCTTATTACTCATAGCTACATCATTGAATATATTTTGTCATATATATAGACATTGTCAGAGTAGTAGTTATATAGTAATGTTATTTCTGAATGTATAATGCAGTGAATAATTTATTAAACATTGTATTCACAATCCTCTTAACATCTTTGTGACGACAGCCTGAGGACAGTGCTCTGGAACTTAAATAGTTTGTACATTTCACGATGAAATTCATTATTTTGAATTCAACAAAGATCACTATTTGATTTCTTCTTCTACCTGCAAATTTCCCAGAATTAGCCAGGGTCTGCCTTACATGATGTGAATAGTTTTGGCTAATTATTTTTACGGCCGGCCGCCTGCCTGACGACAACTCTTTTTGGGAATGCGTTATTTCGTACATATGATTTTGGAAAAATCACATTGGTACTTGCCCGGGCCAGGATCGAACCCGCGCGCTCATGTATACTCGTAAGAGGCGAGCCTCTTAACCACTAAGCCACCACTGACTAATATTTCATTTGTTATAGCAATATTTTTAGTATGTTTTTATTGTACGGTAATGAGTGAATATTTACAATTAAGAGACCAAACTTCTTAGCGTTCAATGTATTTACCGTGCGGGTGCCGGGTCCATCTTTGTCGAGAGGAGCTTACACAGTGCCTAGGATTTGCGACCCAGGTCTAGGTATAAGGAGCCCCTATCTAACGCGTTATAGTATTCTTTAGTGATTTTTATATCACATTCTTCTATATATTTTCTATGTAATATTTTTTCGACCCGAAGTCATTTGTCTTTGACTGATATCCGTATCGTTACAGTATGATCATCTCATAAGAACATCGCAAGCGATCATTCATCATCATAGACAGCTCGTTGTTTCCGCTTCCTCTTATCGACAACATATTGAGAATGTCACACACAATGACTTGGTGTTATAAACAATAACTATTAAATCAATTTTCGTTGCATTATATTGTGGATTTTTTCTGTTAAAATATAAAAAACGATGGTTTTGTGTAAAAGAAAGTAAAACTAATAATTATTATTTTTCAGTGATCTTATATTTCTCAAATTAAAAAAGAGGGTTGATGTTAGACAGGCGCGGCCTGGTCGGAAAAACAATTAGCCAAAACTACAATTACAACATGTAAGGCAGACTCTAGCTAAAGCTGGGAAATGGCCAGGAAGCAGATCTTATATTTTTCAAGAAATCTCTTTTAACTTATATGTAACGCATTATAGGGGATATTAAAATGTTTTGAAAACCAATATATTTATCAAGAAATCTCTCTTAACATCTTATATGCAAAAAATAAGAGATGTAGAAAATGATTTGAAAATAAAGTATAACTCTTAAAGATGTGCTGTTACTACGGTTTATATTTGGAGTGATTTAAATTCAACCGAATAAACAAAAATATAAGTAAGAAATATTACTTTCAGTTACATTAGAATATTTATATAACGGTGATCGAGTGTGGTCAGTTTCTTTATATTAAAAATTAACAGAATACATTAAGTTTTGAAAACCTACATACCAGTGTAACTATAAAACACACTAAGGATGGAGACGTGAATTAATTCATGCCACTGCACTCATGTTTATGTATGACGAAGGAATTTAGACTTGAAGCAACACATTAAATATTATTATCCAACTTCAACATTTAAATCCGAATTAAAATATTAGAATATATGAAGCACTTAAAAAACTTTATATATAAGTACTTCGAGTGTTTGTTTGTGTTTTAATGTATAATAAAATACAGGCAAAAATATTTTTAAATACTATGACGATTCTTCTAAAAATTTAAATTGTATAGTTGAAAATTTTCATGTTCACACAAATCAATATATAATTAAATACAGAGCGGATTCATCGAATGTCGCAGTCAATTATTGTACGAAGTAATCTTATTGGGATTTAAATAAAACGTGAGAGATATAATTTGTAAAATTCATCGAAGATTTGTATCGAAATTGAATAATTTTAAATGGCTCTCATCACTTATTCATTTAATATTGCAGGAAAAATATCAAAAACGTTATCATGTTTATTCACTTGTTATTATAAGAATATTATGAATACTTGTAAATACAACTTGGTATTGAAATATTTTTTAAATGAGTAATACATATATATGTTATACGGAGATATTAAATTTGGCTCAATACGCTCGTTAGCTGAACGTCGACGTAAGTCAGTGACATATACCTTATAAGAACTAGAACCGTTTTCAAGTTTTTTCTATTTCATGTGAGAGGCAGGTTTATATCACTAAATTATATATTATTATTGACCAATATTCAGGTTAGTTTTGGATAAAAAATAGTGCTTCAAATAGTTTCAAATCGTTTTTTATGACATCACGTTGCACTCTAAGTTGCTCTGACTTTCAATTTCGTATTGAGCAATCGTGAAAGTAAAACTGCTCTTAAATACTCTAGATACACCTGTTGGTCATTTTTTATTAAACGAAAGTGTCTTATTTAAACCACATTCGTTTGTTAAGCACATTTGAATTCTTATATATATAATGATCATATTTGTAAATTTTTAGTTTCTGTTTTAAATTACTTTTAGTCCTGACCGTGTTTCAAACTGTTAAATGATCTGGCAAGGGACGGATGATGTCCAGAATTAATTAAAACCCTTTCAAGTCCCGGTTATATTTATTACTTTTGTAATTTATAACAAGAATCTTAATGACAAAATTTATCGAAACTTTTATTAATTCGCTGCGAAATTTCAATTTTCCCTTTTTCATTTTAATTTAAACGGTGTGAAATTTTATCTTTTGTATTTTGCTTCATATTTATTGAGTATGGATATATAGTTGTATGTTGAGTAATAACTGAAATTGAAGTGACCTTTAGTTGAGTTTCTAACAAAAATATATAAAAGTTGTAAAAGCCTAGAAGTTTTTTATTAAATTAGTTAGGAAGTTTTTTCATAACTCACAGGCTTCACCGTCAGGGCTCGCCCCACTTAACGGATGAGGAATGTTACTAAAAATGTAAACTAAATAATGGAATCAAGTGAAACATTGTATTTAGGAGAATGACTATTGATGAGGATTTGATTTTTGTGGAATGTAGTTACTACTTTTACCTTAGAACTATTGAATCTTTTGAGTTTAGTTCAAAAGGAAACGAGTTTTCGTTTCGTAGCCACTAATACATGTGACACTATTTAAATCCTTTACCACAATTTATTTCTAGACTCTAAATAATTATCTACAGAATGATCATATTCGCAGACCCAAGTTTATTAAGCGGTGTTACACTAAAACATTTCTTTAATTTAACTTCAAATCTCACAACTCATTTGATACTTTAAACGTACCATTATAAATATTAATTTATTAATATAATAGTCTTAAATATTTCCAAAAAATATTATTTTATACGAGTATATATTTTTTGTCAAAATTAATGACTGTAAATTCTTATACATTACGATTAACGCAAAAACTAAAGTATGTATGTGTGTCGGTATGTAATGATTACTCAATCTCATTAACTACCAACATGATATGGAGTTGGATTGAACAGGTTTGTTTTATTAACCATATGTGTTATATAAGGCGAGTCATGTTTTAACATCACACGTTTAAGGTTTATTTTTAGTAATTAAAGTGGACTTACCTGGGGCGGAGATTTGTCTGGGAGAGATTGTTTTGTATTGGCGTACTCCACTCCAGATGAAGGTGGAACTATAAATAAGTTGAAATATGTATTTATCTAAGTATTATATACTACAAAGCTTCGTCATAGCTTCCAATATTAACAAATTAAGAATGTAAATGAAACTAATATTTTCGGATGTACTACTCGTTTTTAAAACTACATACTTTCGACATTTTGGTTACTTTATAGCATGCGTGCTCGCTTGCAGATGAGATGAAAAATTCTCTCGTTTGTACATATTAAGTTTTATTAACATAAATAATGTCGAAAGTTTGAGATATTACTACTTAATAATGCGTCTTTTATCAGTAATACATAAAAATACTTCAGTTCATACCTGTGGGTAGTAATGGCGCTCTTTTATCAACGCCAGAGTTTCCTTCAATGAGTCCTCTTTTCTCTTGTTTCTCCTCATTCTTCTCTTGACTCTTTCTTTCTGATCTAGCAGCGTTGCTGACTGCTGCTAGCAAAATGACGGCCAGCTGAAATATAAACTTATTGATAAAACAGAGAAAAATATCTTAAAAGTTTAATAAATTAAGAATCACTATTTTTTTATTTAAATAATGGGTATATGTAAATTAACTATATTTTACATATTATATTTATCTTCAAAGAAGGTTTAATATCATTAAAATTAACTCCGTTAATTTCTATCAACAAATCATAAATAAATTTAAATATTAACTTCAAAAATTCACATATATAAATTTACGTGAAATATATGAATGATTCTAACTAAAACCTTTCGTTACTTCTAACTAATTATTGATGAGTGAGGGAACTTTTATTAACTTAAATTCACTTTAAACACACAACTGACCGTAATTTTCATTTTATCAACTACCACTGTATATTTATTATGATACAGATACTTCGCAGCCTTAGCCGGGAGTCTGCGTGTGAGCTCGTTCGAGACTCGCCAACGCTTTTATTGAGATGAAACGTCATCCCGCCATTTTGGATTTGATCTTATAACTTGATTAAGGAATCGATATATAACATTCAGTTAATTGTATATTAAATATTATTAATATTACTCTAATATATTAAATATTTGACTAGTTTAAAGGTAGTATTAATTTTTTTCAGTTGTAAGAATTCGATTGCTTATTCTATGTGCGTAATTGTGGATTTTATTAAACTATAATTAAAGAAGAACTTGGTGTCCCTTGATTGAATCAGGAAATTTAAATAGATATAAAAATTACGAAATCTTTACAACCTCATCTATAGAAAGATCTATTTCTCAGATTTGTTTAAATAACCTAAATTAAATTACTATCACAATGAAACAATCAGTTGTATCGCTGAGATGTTACTTACCAAATTTGTACTTAGGAAATCTATTGTATCTTGAGATCAGGTTTTTGAACTCTCACACTTTAATTATACGTAAGGTACTTAGAAAACGGTATCAGAATAATTATATTATATAGTAGATACATAAATAATAAGTTCATATGAATAAAGGTTCATATTAATGTTTAAGTTTTGGGTCCGTGCCACTAACCATTAGCAAAACATTACAACACTAACACACACAAACACACACATGCAAATCTAAACGTTTTAATGATCTTACTAAAATTTGGCCACAATATATTCTCATGATACAAAATAATTACAATTAATAGGCAAATTTTTGTAAATTTTAAGTACATAACTTAATAAATATTCATATTTTAATAGAAAAAGATTAAAGAAACTTACTTAAAATTAAATTTTTATTTGAAATAACTCAAATAATGATATAATCGGGACCTTTTTCATACTCGAGATGTTTTTGTTTGAGGTTTAATAGATAGGTTCTTATAAAACAAAATTAATCGTGTAAGTTTATATGTACCGCATATAAAAAAGGAAGCGAAACTTTTTGAGTATTTTCCCATTTATCAAAACCTGATTTGAACTACCTTAAAAAGGGATGAAGATAATGTTTACTATTCTATCGTTATACCCACTTCACTTCACTTTGGCAGGTTAACGTATAACTTTAGTTTAAGAAAAGTTTTAGATACAAGTCTAAATACATTATTTTATTGAGAACAGACAATAGTATCGTCTTTTTAAAAAAATTAGGAATAATAACTACAAAAACTGTATACTTTTCATACTTGATTATTTATTGTTTAGTAATTTTAAAGTTTAATGTTTAGCAGTGATATAAATGCATATTCTATTTAATGACTCTGCACCTGTTACTTTATATTCATTATTTATATTATAAATCACTTTTAAAATGTAAGCACCAATACATGTTCATAGTTTACTCTCAATAAAAATAGTCTAAATAAATTAACATGTTTTCTGTTTTTGTTATTCATAATAGAATTTATATCCAAAAAACTACTGAATAGATTTTTCCGCTTGTTCATAAGACTGGGACCATGGTATGTGTGTGTTCGTACATTATTTCGATCCCTACCACGTTTTAATTGAACCACAGGGTCCAGTCATATACCGCATAAAATAATTTAAATTCATTGATCAATTTATGGTCTCATAATTAAAGCAGTTCTCGGTTAAAATATTTTTCATGTTTTCGCTTAATTTTATAACTTTATGGTTAATATTGATAAGTGTTGAAATTTAAATTTTATATTAAAACAAGTCTATTTTAAGAGTGGAGAGAATTTTATATCGGCTTATGTAATGAATGTATAATTTTGTTAATATATATTTAACTTTTATAATGTAGGGATCGATTAAAAATATTAAAAGTGTTAAAAAATATATATTAAAAGTGCCAAAGGTGATAAAGACTAGTTCCCAATTAAAAAGCGGTTGATGTTAAGTATTAAGTTTTTAAGTTGCGGATAGTAGTACATCAGGTAGTCTGTGTGCTCGGTTGCCTTTAGAATATACAAAATTTAAGAGTCTATTGAGAATATGTCTAAGCGAAAAATAGCTTGCCTTTATTTATAATATGAAAGTTTTGCAGTAAATTTCGTTTTACATAAGTATATACGATATATATACACTGATTTACACTGATTAGCCGAATATTTGTTGTTAGTGTCTCTCATGAATTATAAGTTAATGAAAGTAATTTGTACCTTATGTCTGATCACAGTACACCAGCCATTTATTTAGAACAAATCTATTTGAAATTACAAAGAATGTTGAAATCTATGTTTTTTTGGGTAAAATCGTTATTAATACATTCCTAGTTGTGAATCAATTCATAAACACAATACTGAATTCTCACAGACTCGAGGTCGGGACCCGGTTTTTGTAAATTCGTTTATAATAATATAAAACATCATGCAATAGTGTCGGATGCAATATATATAGTAACACATATGTAGAACCTTGTAAGGCAGTTATTAATAAATAAGGGTTTTCCGTGCCTTGCGCAAAATTCCGCTCAAACTTACCGACACTTACCTCCAGATGTACTGATTGAGATCATCATTAATACGGAAAATTTCAATTTGTACCATCTGAAATCAATGACACATTTTGGTTCCAAAAACCACTTATATAATAAAGATTATAAATCAATTTGTACTATCGAAATGTACTATTATTTGCGAAATGCAAGTTCAAATTAAATTCGAGTCACTCTCATTATATATAATTTCAGTCACTAGTAATTCGCTTCAATAAAACTCAAGCTTGGAATAAAATATAACAATACATGATTGTATTCAATGAAAAAGTAATTTATGTCGTTTATAAAAACTTAGTAATAAGCTGAATATCTTAAATATCGTTTTTTTTCTAGAAATGAATTCAAATATGTGCTCCATATATTAAATATGTGATATATTTTCTTGTTCTTCTCACGGCCTATGTCAATTAGCCAATTATTCAAAGAATTAAAGTTGCTGGCTGCGCTTGCGCAAGGCACCGGCGCTGCCTGGTTTTATCACACACATATATAAGCCAAATCTGTTAAAAGTAGAATTTCCTATCACTCTTACATTTAAATCTTCTTTATATTGAAAATAAAGGAGTACAGTTGATCTATATTGCATAACACAAACATATGTACGTACACAGTACGTGTGTTAAGTAATGTGTCCCAGACTACTTTCACAATATTGCGTCAGGGTCCAAAACCGGCCGCGTCAACATCCGGTAGGTTTCTGGATTGAATGATAACAACACGTAATACTATCATTTTAAGTAATTATAATAATATATAACTTGTATTATGTCATAAGCTTATCAGAGCACACTGCTGTAAGGCCTCTCCTCACATGGAGAATGTTTGAGAATTAATCACCAACTTGTTTTATACCTCAAACTATTTCGAGAGATTTATATCTTCTGTTATAAAAGAGTCAAGAACCAATAATGATCTTTATAAAAAATTCTCTTAGACATGACATCTTAATCAATTTCTTTGCTAAAGAAATATATGTATTTATATAATAGTTTTTATCCGCGACTTCGTTCGCGTTAATTTCGGAATTAGTAATATAGGTATAACTGACCGAGCGAACTCTATTCTGCCCTACAGGCCATAAATAACCAGATATTGGAATTTATTAAGTTTTTTTCCGATCGAACAGAATTAAATATCCTATGTCCATCTCTTGGTTCTAAGCTATCTTCCCACTCATTATTATCAACCATATCCCTACAGCCGTTCATGAGTTATAAATGTTACTAACACAACTTTCTTTTATATATATAGATGACATATATGTCTCTTGTAGTTTTTGTTATTTATAATAATATATATCAATTTAATAGTGATTCATTGTATTCGTATTGTTCAATATATTATATCATAGTAGTGTTCAAGACACAAGTGAAAGCTTTCGATAGATCGCAACATTAATTGGTTCGTATTAATTCCTGCCGACCGCCTCCTCACTTCACATGTATTTGAATGGATTCAATGTTATTACTGGGGCTATTGTTTTGATTGGATGTTTAAATTTAACTTTAAATTTGTTAATTTACATGTTTTTCTTAAATTTATCTGGTCATCATTCTAAATTATCTGTATCTAGTGTTTGTTCTTTGTCATAATTTGTCAGAGAAAAGATTGTGTTTGGTTTTAAGTTGAGTTTTTCTGTAAGTGATTTTTGCTGTTTCCAATAAAGATATGTTACTAATTAAAAGTATTATCTGTTTATACTTTTCAATAGTTTATTGGGCTAAGATTGATCAGATTGTACATTCATTTATCTTTTTATACATAAGATGAATTTCGGAAAATTTTGTTATACATATATATCATTTTGATGTCTTAACTCCTGGCCACAGGCCGGTATACATATGTACATATGAATATATATATATATATATATATATATATATATATATATTCATATGTACATATGTAGCATAGCATATATATATATATGCTTTGTTTGCTTTGTTTTGTTTCACCGGTCAGTGATTTCCAGTCTGCCGTGGAGAAGGAAGCGAAGTCAGGATTTAGTTTAATTAATCAATGTTAACGCCACATCTACTAATAGTGTAAGGAATGTATTGTTAATAATATAAGAGGAAGTAAAGTCAAGTTAAGGAACGGGCTCCTGCCGGGCCCAGGTCGTCTATGCACAGAATGAAACCATCAATATTTGCAATTAACGATTTTATTAAATTATGTAACTACATATAATATTCCTTTGTTATAGAAAATTAGTGTAATGAAGCAAAGGATTTTCAAAATGACTTCGCTCATAAAGTTTAAGCTGTTTATTTACAAGCTAGATATATTTCATTTACGGAGATTGTAAATAGATCTTGCAGGAGATTTAATCAGGCTTTCAACTTTATTCATGAGTTCATGAAATAGAATTAGAAAACAAACATTTACATAAATTGATGATAGTAAGAGGGAAATAACGGTTAATAGTTTTCTTGTTT